AATGTTTTCCCAATGGAGGCCATGTTCAAAGGATCCCACCCACAGGCCACACGTTGAGGCCTGCATAAACCCAAGCCGCACTGCAGGCTGCAAACAAATGGGCCACATGTTGAGTAGCTCTGACCTACATAACGTAACTGGAGTTGTGTATCTTAAATCAACTTTCTCCTTCAGTATAGACCAGGCCTAAGGTGTCACAGGACTACTTGTTGTACCCTAGGCAAAGTTTTTCTCCAGAATTACAAGAGTACTGCAAGATGCTCCTTTCACCCAAGAAAAGTTCCTCTGTCTTTGAGACAGATGAAGGATGAGGGGGAAAAGCTACAGATTTAGTTAGGTAACCAATGGAAAGAAAGTGGACAGGAAAGAGACTAATTCTGCCAGAAGATACTACATTTGTAGTATCAGCATAAATATGACATCATTCTGTAATACAAAATCAGTAAGTCTTCATCTCTAAAACTCAAATCATTGAGAGCCCTCCCATTTTCATGTTGTTAAAGTAACAAATAATTTGTCATATAAATCATTGTCACACTCATATTCTAAAACAATTTGTATTTCCACAGCATTTGTGCTTTCCCTCTTTCATGTACATCCCCAACAAATTACATCTGTCCCAGCTGGGCTACTCTGAGCTCATTGGCTTTGTATGTTAGAGTCAGAGGTGCTTAGCTCAGAGCTTAGTTCAGCAAAACCACATCCCGTTTCCCTGAATTATTGGCTCACAGTTCTGTGGTGCAAGAAAGCTAGATGTGCAGTTCTGCAGATGCTGAATTCTCATAATGTAAATATCAATACAGCGACAAATATGTGTGTGCTCATTTTCTTGAAGATGTAAGCATAGTGAAAAGCTATAAAGATTGTTTCAGGTTAGCATTTCAGAATATGAGAAAAACAAAATATCTTGTTTATGTAAATGAAAAGGAAACTGGAAAACAATCCTACCCCCCCTGCATACCCTTATCATGTGCAGTCAAGACTTTTTAAAATTGCATATAGATTTATCTGCAATATTTTGTAAGAATCTGAAAAGAAGATTAATAAAATGTTATGACTCAGTAGAAAAAATTGGAATTTCTTTGTATTTCCCTTTTATAAAAATATAAATAATACAGTTGCTAATGAATGCAACATAGAGTATCTAGCTATATTAATTTACAAACACAAATTAAGAATTACTTAAATGAGTTCCAGAAAGTTGGTCAATAAAAATAATGAATCATGAATTTACCAATGCTAATAATATTTTTATTGAGCCAATTTAAAAGTAGAACACCATTCTGTAATAACTTTAGTGACTCACACTTTAATTGCTACTAGCCTAACTAACTACTCAGTTTGACATACAGCTACAGTTTGTGAGACAGAAAGAAAGGGGAAAAGGTCATCTCAACCATCTTGTTGTGACAAATAAAACCTGTCAAATGTCATTGTTTCAGTGTAAAATGCAAGAATCCCATGTAAAAATTAGTAAATCAGTTATTTCACATAGCACAATCTGCTGATGTGTTCTTTTAGCTTTGGAACTTTTGTTGTTTTCCCTCCAGATACTCTGCCGTTCTTGCATGTGATCTCTCAAATGTGCTGCTTCCCAATGTAGAGTTATTGTATGTAATTTTATGGTCACCAGACTATATTTGTTGTATTCATAGAGCATCTCATGAGTAATCCATCTGGCAATCACAGAATCATTCAACAAATTTCTTTCCTATCCACCTTTAGTCAAAATGGTTGGTTGCATTTCTCTCTAATTGGATATCCCAGTTGCATATAAATATATTCTACATAAGAAGGGCCGTACTGGGTCAGACGAAAGGTCCATCTAGCCCAGTAGCCTGTCTGCCGACAGTGGCCAGCACCAGGTGCCCCAGAGAGGGTGGACCGAAGACAATAATCAAGCGATTTGTCTCCTGTCATCCTTCTCCAGCCTCTGACAAACAGAGGCCAGGGACACCATTTCTGTCCCCAGGCTAAAACCTTTTATGGACCTAACCTTCATGAACTTATCTAGCTTCTCTTTAAACTCTGTTATAGTCCTAGCCTTCACAGCCTCCTCTGGCAAGGAGTTCCACAGGTTAACTACACGCTGTGTGAAGAAGAACTTTCTTTTATTTGTTTTAAACTTGCTACCCTTTAACTTCATTTGGTGTCCTCTGGTTCTTCTATTATGGGAACTAATAAATAACTTTTTTATTTGCCCTCTCCACACCACTCATGATTTTATATACCTCTATCATATCTCCCCTCAGTCTCCTCTTTTCTAAACTGAAAAGTCCCAGTCGTTTTAACCTCTCCTCATATGGGACCCGTTCCAAACCCCTAATCATTTTAGTTGCCTTTTTCTGAACCCTTTCCAAGGCCAAAATATCTTTTTTGAGGTGAGGAGACCACATCTGTACACAGTATTCAAGATGTGGGCGTACCATAGTTTTATACAGGGGCAGTAAGATATTCTGGGTCTTATTTTCTATCCCTTTCTTAATAATTCCTAGCATCCTATTTGCCTTTTTGACCACCGCTGCACACTGTGTGGAAGTTTTCAGAGAACTGTCCATGATAACTCCAAGATCTCTTTCCTGATTTGTCATAGCCAAATTAGCCCCTTTCATACTGTACGTATAGTTGGGGTTATTTTTCCCGATGTGCATTACTTTACACTTATCCACATTAGATTTCATTTGCCATTTTGTTGCCCAATCACTCAGTTTGGTGAGATCTTCTTGGAGTCCCTCACAGTCTGCTTCTGTCTTGACTATCCTAAACAGTTTGGTATCATCTGCAAACTTTACCACCTCACTGCTTACCCCTTTCTCCAGATCATTTATGAATAAGTTGAACAGGATTGGTCCCAGGACTGATCCTTGGGGAACACCACTAGTTACCCCTCTCCATTTTAGCTAAAGATGAACTTTATTGCAGCAATCAAAATAACTCAAGAAGGACTCATTTTTTTAATTTATAAAAGGCATGCAATTCCCAATATTAGGGAGTAATAAATATCTACAATTGTATTGAAGTTATATACTTTTGGAAATCTTTGATTTGTTTTCTATATTGATGTTTTCACATCATCTGTTTAACTCACAACAACTTAGCTGGTGTAAAAGAAGCATAAGTGTGCAAAAATATCATTAACACCTCCTTATGCATACTTAAGCCCTAAATCGAAAAGGTATATAGGGGGAGGATTTTCAGGAGCTCTCAGCTATGTCCTTACCCTGGTCCCATTGACTCCAGTAAGAATTTTTCTGTCATCTGATCCAGGCAAAATCTTAAGCAAAAGCTCCTCTGGTCCAAAGGTCAAATGCCCCAGTAACATGAACAATGAAAGTCAGCTAGAATTACAGGGGGAGGATCATTTGAAAGGTAATATTAGAGCACCAAGATAATCCAGGGAAGTGGGATGATTGATTGTTTAGGGAGCAAATGTTCATAAAGGGAAAGCCAGCCTCTGTGTTCATGGCCTAGTTCTGTAAGGTCCTAAGCATCTTCAGCTCTCCTTTGTATCACTTCTCAAGGTTGTTCTAAAATGCCAGTTTAAGTCACACACTAAAGAACAAATCTGACAGCCCCAAAAATGTTGGGAGAAAAGATTAATTGCATGAATTGTATTTTTTTAAGGAAGCAATTATTTGAGAGTGTCAAAAGACAAGTAGGCAAGGGATATCCAGAGGATAATAGTATATTTGGCCTTTGACAAGGTCCCATACCAAAGGCTCTTTAGCAAAGTGAGCAATCAAGAGCTAACAGGAAAGGTCCAGTTCCTGGTTAAAAGATAGGAAACAAGGAGGAGGAGTAAATGGTCAGTTTTCACAGTGGAGTGAGGTAAATAGCAGGGGCCCCCAGGAAGCTGAACTGGCCTCTTTGCCTTTCAACTTATTCATTAATGTTCTGGGAAGAGGGGTAAACAGGTAGTACATTTTACAGATGATACTAAAATACTCAAGACAGTTAAGTCCAAAACTGACTCTGAACAAATCTAACACTAAAGATTGATAGAGATCTATAAAATCATGAGTAGTCTGGAGAAAGTGAAAAATGAAGTGTTATTTATCCCTTCACATAATTCACGAATCAGGGGATCAACCAATGAAATTAATAGGAAGTAGTTTTAAAACAAACACAAGGAAGTACTTCTTCACACAACACACAGTCAACCTGTAGAACTCACTGTCAGGGGACGTATTAAGGCCAAGACTATAACAGAGTTCAAAAAATAACTGAATAAATTCATGATGAATAGGTCCATTAATGGGCAATACCTAAGATGATCAGGGATACAGCTCCATACAACAAAGTTCCCTAAACTTCTGACAGCCATAAACTTTGACTGGATAACAGCGGATATCTCACTCAATAACTGTCCTGTTCTGTTGATTCCCTCTGAAGAACCTGACACAGGCCACTGTTGGAAGACAGGTTACTGGGTTGAATGGACCATTGGTCTTATGCAGTATGGCCATCCATTCTTCTGAAACCTATAAATTCCACTGAAGCCCCAGACATGGAAGGCTCAGAGCACACTCAATTCCCACTTCAGCTAACTACAGCTGAAGGCACTCGGTACCTTGAATTGAGCACTAAATTTACCTCTCTCTGTAACAGCAACATAGACTCATGGGCTACGTCTAGACTGGCATGATTTTCCACAAATGCTTTTAACGGAAAAGTTTTCCGTTAAAAGCCTTTGCAGAAAAGAGCGTCTAGATTGGCACGGATGCTTTTCCGCAAAAGCGCTTTTGCGCAAAAAAGCACCAATCGCCATTTTCACGATCGGGGCTTTTTTGCACAAAACAAATGAAAATCTATGTGGGTTTTCTGACCTAGAAAATAAGTTAAGCAGATGTAGTAGGTTTCATATTTTGCGATTTCACTTGCTTTTTAATTACTTTATTTTGAAAGCATTTAATATTCTGCCTTGTTTAATAGTAATGAGAGTGTTTCCAAATCACAGAATCATGCATAATTGCATCTAAAATGTATTTGCACCATTACAGGTCATGGATTAACAGCAGTAAAGGAAAAAGCAGGGGCCACTCTTGGAATTCATAATGCAAGTTCAATATCTTCAGAAGGTGCACAACCTGCCACAACTGAGAGCAAAACACTAGGGATCAGTAAGTAGGTTATTAGTAGAAAATAAACAAAACTTTTTGACAAAATGTCAAATGTACAAAAATCAAAGATTTTCATCAGAGAATCCAGTTAATTGTGATTTGTGACTTGCAGTGCTGAAGATGCATGTGCTTTGCTCTTTTTTAATTTTATAAGATTCCGACGATGCCCCAGAGCAGAGCTCCACTGGGGTTTCACCCTCTTCTCCTTCATCTGGATCTCGTGGGATGCTGTCAACAATCACCAATGCTGTACAGAACACAGTGAGTAACTCAGATGTGGCTTGTTTTCTCGAGTTCTCCTTTGTGCTCTCTATTTGCAAGTCGCATTTGAAAATGAGAGTTTGGGAGTTATGTGACAGTTTTTGAAACACGGCTCTACAATGACACTTTTACACAAAAATAATGAGCTCAGTACAGAGTTGGAAGTGTATCAAAGATAGTAACCAAGTTAGGCTTGACCTACACTGCAAGCTAGGGGTGTGATTCCCAGCTTGCATGCAAATCTTCCTGCTAGCTCAGTGAGAGCTAGTGTATGGATAAACAGTAATGTAGCTGCAGTAGCATAGGCAGTACAGATTGGATCTCCCTTGTCCGGCACCTCGGGACCTGACGTTCCGAACAAGGGAATTTTCAGAACAAGGGGAGATCCCTCCCAATGTGGCCCATGCTACCCCCAGCTAGGACTCCAGTCGAGCCCCGCTGTTGCCTGCCCACCCATGGCTCCCCAGGCCGGAGCTCTGTGCCTGCTGGGGCTCCGCAGCTTCTGGGACTGCTGGAGCTCTGTGGCTGCCATGGCTTGTGGGGTTGCCGGGGCTCCGTGACTGCTGGGACCAACGCGTCGTGGCTGCGGGGACTGTGCAGCTGCTGCCAACCCCCCACTACCACCCGGCAGCAGGGGCCAGAACTCCCTGCCGTGCCCCCTCCCTCAGCATGGGGCTCCTGGCTGAGTCATGCCCCTCCTCTCCTGCTCTTGCCCTGTGGCCCAACCTTCTTTTACTTGGACTCTATGGTCCAGGAACATCCGGGGTCCTGCCGGTGCTACCTGGGCAGTGTCTTGGTAGTGTCCAGTGAGGAAGCAGCAGCCTGCATGCTGCACCGCTGCTGGGAGCCCTCTAGAGCCGCCACAGCCCAGCATCCAGTTTCACCCAGAGGGAGCTGGCTTTGCTAGACAGGAAATCGGTATCCACCTCCCCGTGCTACGCTGTGGCATCTGCCTGCAAGTCCCGTCACCTCCAGGTGCTGTCGGGGGAGGTGCTGTGCCAGCTGCTGGAGAAAACCCTAGAAGTGGCAAGGCTGGCGCCATTGCACTGCGGGGCTGGGAAAGCATGCAGAGGAGCGCCGAGGCCTTTCCCCTGAGGGTCCTGCCTTCTGCTCAGCGGTGCAGGCAGCTGCATTTCTGAAGTTGGGAGGGCTGCTCTGTAGGGCAGACATGCAAAGCAGGTCTTCTCCAGAAGCCGGGGGTGGGGGGGGTGCCTGTCGCCTCAGGAGGTTGCAGGGGGGTGCAGCCAGAAATAGCAGGGTCACAAGGGGACTCTGTCCCCTACCTTCACCCCTCACCAAAGAACTGGTGTAAACCGAGAAATGCTTCTGTATTGCATTGTGCCCAGTGCACTCCACCCCTTGGCTTGCTTTGTACCACCTTGAAAAATTATCTGGAATTTCAGGATTTTCTGTACTGATAAGGTAGCGTTTGGGTTGCTATAAACACAAAGCCAGTGCAGAAGACAACAGAGGAGCCCCCCCAGCACTGAAACGGGTAGCAATTCTAAACATTTGGTTTTCTGCCTAGAAACAATAGCCTGTAGGATTGTGGTACTTCTGGTATCAATATATTATAGGAGCAATTCCTACTACCAGTAGCATAGTCTTATAAGGGAGTAGCTCTCTACACACCACCAGCCAATGGCAGCAATGGGGGCGCAAAGCCAGATAAATGTCTCCCTGATACCCAGACTCCATACCTCAGTCCCCCTCATTCATCTCCCTCCCCTGCCAAGACCGTACACCCTCTCTTGCTTTGGCACTCTCCCTCCTGGCCAGACACCCTACCTCCAGCCTGCTCATGCACCCTCGCTCCTGGCCAGGTTCTGCACCTCCCCCCTTGACCCTGCACCGTCCCTCCTGGTCAGACACCCTACCCCCAGCCTGCCCCTGCACCCTCCCTCGCTCCTGCACCCTCCCTCCTGGCCACACTCTGCACCCTCTCTTGCTCCTGCACATTCCCTCCTGGCCAGACACCCTATCCCAAACCCTCTCCTGCATCCTCCTTTGCTCCTGCACCCCTCCCCCTTGGCCAGACACGTACCCCCACTGTGCTTCTGCATCCACCGTTGCTCTGCACCCTCCCTCCTGGCCACATGCTGTACCCTACCTTACTCTTGCTCCCTCCCCCAAGCCAGACACCTTACTCCCAGCCTGCTTCTGCATCCTACCTCCCACGCAGCCCCCCCTCCCCACTCCACTCTCTCCTGCCCAGATCCTGCTGGCATCCCTATCCCACTTGCTGGCATTCTCATCTCGTACACTGAACCCCCCATTTTGGTCGCCACACCAGAGCCTAAGGGGGTCCACAAAATCCACTAACTCCAGAACCCAGAAAAGTATATTTGGCCTATGGGAAGCCCTGAACCTCCTCCCTGTCCTTTCCCCATGCCCTGTGGGGCTGGAGCACCAGATGAGTGAGAGGTCTCAGTTGGGGACTGCATCAGTGAGGGCTGGGAGTTTTTGGAGGATTTTTTTTGATTCTCACATCTGTGGTCTCTAACTGATTTTTGTGTGGGTCAGTGATCCCTGACCCAAAAAAGATTCCCAACGCCTGCCATAAATAAAGAAAACATTGAAATCTCTTTTGTTGGACATAAATTAATATTTTACTTTATTTAAAATGAGGTTTGATAAGCTAACATGAGAAAGTTAAAATGCTTAATCTGTTTAATAATTTAAATTAAATCATTCTCCTTAGCTGCAGCACTAGCAAAATGGCTCGAGCATAATTAAGTAATTAATGGTGAGTGTCGATTAGCAACTGGTGGTCTGCGGAAAGATTTGCATTGAACCAAGTGGTCCACAGGTCAAAAAGTTTGAGAACCACTGGTTTATACTCAGCTTGGCTTTGAACCATGCCACTGCATCTACTGCCCATGCTGCTATGGCTACACTACTATTTATATTTGCCCTGGCTCTCATTGAGTTAGTGCAAGTATGTGTATGTGAGCTGGGAATCACATATCTGGCTCATAGTGCAGACTTAGAGTGAACATTTGGGACTAGACTTTGTTTTTGAAAAATTCTGGCTGCTGCACTGTGTATCTCTTACTAAAATAAAGTCTTTTGTCATTAACTTTTTGAGGAGGTTTTTAAAATATATTTTTGTAGGGAGATAAAAGATAATCCTATATTTGCTTAGTTCAAGACTTTTACTAAATTACTTCATTTCTTCTCTAGCTCTGCTTGACCTATCCCTCTTTGTTCAGTCTCAAACTGGCTTTCTAACATAGCTCTGTGGATATCCCGATGCTCTCTCAAATTCAGCATGCCAAAAATTGACCTAACTATTCATCTTTCCCCCCTATCGATTAGTACTATTGTTCCCTCCAGAATATTTGTCATCCAGGCTCACAACTGAAGCACTGCATTTTACTCTCTTCTTCCCTCACCTCCTGTATCCCAGCTTTTGCCTAGTCCTGTTGCTTCTTCCATTTACCATATCCAATATCTATCCACATCATGCTTTGTTTCCTTTCAATGTGTACAAAATGCTGCCACAACAGTCATTTTCCTTTGAACTTTTTTGCATGGTGCTCTAGCATGGGATTACAGAAAAATACAGGCAGCAGCTAAGAAACAGCCGGCAGGGTTTCCTTTGTGTGAATTTTCAGTGAGTATCAAGCCATTATAAGCACACCGTGTATAGCTTTTCACTAATGCCAAAGATTCTGGGAGCATGAGAAGACTTCCATTGACCACTCCCCAAGGGCTGCATTGGGAGGCATGTCTACACTTTACCTGTAAATCGGCACTGCTGCGATTGATGCAGCGGTGTCAATTTAACAAGTCTAGTGAAGACTGCCTATATCAATCTCAGAGCACTCTCCAGTCGACTCAGGTACTACTCCTCCCAAGAAGAGTAAGGGAAGTCAGTAGGAGAGAGTGTGTCCCGTTGACACATGGCAGTGTAGCTATGTCAACTTCAGATATGTTATTCATGTAACTAGAGGATTGTGGCTTAGGTCGACTTATGGCAATTGTGTAGACCAGGCCAGGGTCACAGAGTCAGTGAGGCTGTAGCAACCCAGAATTTGCTAGTGGTGACTTTCAGTGAGAATGCCTCAGTTGCATAGGGAAGCCAGTCTGTAAGTGGGAGAATTAGGAGAGTGGGCTGGAAAGATAGAGTTGTCCATGTAAATGGGGAAGACCATCATATCAAAGTAGCAAATGGTATCAGGAAGAAAGAGCAGTTCAGGTTCCTGATGGTGTTCCTGCCTCTTGTTTAAGAAAGTTTCCTTCAGTGTTTTCATACAGAGATCAGAAGCAGTTTTGATTTCTGGGACCTGTGTGAAGTTTTCCATGTCCATCTCCTCATTTGAAAAGCTACCAGACATAGTTGAGTCTATGCTAACCAGTTAGCCAGTGTATGTACTTCTTCCATGTAGCTGAACCAGTGAGAGAGATGAATAAGTCTAGGTGAGAGGAAATAGGAGCGATGGTTTCATATGACAGTTCACTGTGGCTATCAAATGGAAAAAAAAATCAGTTACACAAGTTAGGTGAGCTCTTTTCATAAGAGACCTTAACTTCAGAGGAACTTTTTATAGCTAATATTTGCACTGACACACTGTGTACCATTTAAAGGAAAAGATGAACCATCCATGTATAATTTCTGATTATTCTTTAATTTATTAAGAGAATTGCTGTTGCACAAAGCTATTTAATATCATTCAAAATAAGTTAATTATAAAGGCTTTGTATAGGACTTTTTCTTCTGGAAATGGATTCAAAGCAAAGTGAGATAATTAATGAAACCATAAAAACGCCTATTATTATTAATAAATGTGGAGACACTTTGAGGAGTTAAACATTCAAAGACACCATCAACAGAATCAATATTTTTTACAGGTTCTTATTAACATAAAGTGTAAAGAAAATAACCACACTGCATTGTCTTATGTTCAGGGAAAAAGTGTCTTGACTGGTGGTTTAGATGCTTTGGAATTTATCGGCAAGAAAACTATGAATGTCCTGGCAGAAGGTGATCCTGGATTCAAGAGAACCAAAATACTGATGGAAAGAACAGTTTCCTTATCTCAGGTTGGATATTGCTTGAAAATCAGCTTTGTTAGTGCAGCTGCAGGCAACTGAATCAGAATTTCATTTGCATCACTAGTAGGGTTAATTAGACCTATGCAAATAAAAATTATGCATTATATCAGCTTCTCTTTGTTCTCTCCAGGACTGCAAAAGAATGTGTTTTGTAAAATTAACTCTTACATATAAGCAAGGATATGCAATTACTGATTGTCATAAGATAGTCTATCTGGTGATAAACATTATACTCTTAATAATTATAACTGTATTCACATCAATACATACATATTGGTAGTGCTTTCCTTCAGAATGAGCAGTTGTTCAGTTGCTGCTTATTATTTTTACTAAGTGCAGGAGAATTTCATCAATCTGCAACATAGGGTTGTGAAGTGCTAATAGACACAGATTGATATAGATAGCATAAAATCTGTGTGTAGTTAGGTTAAGGGAAATCCAATAGCAGTAGACATTCAAAGGAAGCCTTTATATTACCACAGTATTTTCCTGTTTGGAGAATGTAATATTGCAGTGAGATTCTCTCAGTAAGATGTTTCATTTTTAACATCTACTACTGTAAAGCAGAAACAGATTGATACTGTGAGAGCAGATGAAAAGCCAAGTAACCCATGATAAGCAAATACATAATTGTACACTTTACCTAGCTACTTGAGCTCCAAATGGCCATTACTGCTAAACCAGAAATATATGTAGCCCCACTCCTGCAGCTGAGGTTTCTAAGTGGATCTGATTGCAAGATCAGAGCTTAATTTTGGGTAATGTATTTCTGGTACTGCCCAAGGCACTTCACAATGCCTTCACATGGGACTTTATAATATTACAGCTCTGGTAATAAAGGGGACTCTCTCAAATTATATAGACTCAAAATTTGATCTGACTGGAAAGTTATGATCTGAAGAAGGTATTCTAGATTGTAAGAACCAAAATTTCAAAGACTGTACTTCAGTTGTGTCTTCTTTAAAATATGCATCGACATGAAATCAGCAAATTGGAATGGTGGGTATATGTTTATACAGCCAGTTAAGTGTTGGCATGTCCCATTCCATTCAGGACTGCAGTTAAGCATGTACTTAAAATTAAGAATGTGCTTAAGTGTGATCCTGAATCAGGGCTACATAGGAAGCAAGGGAGAAAAGGATGAGAGAAAGGAAATGGAGCTAATAAAAGGTGTGGAAATGAGGCAGAGAAAGATAAAGTAATTCATTGCCTAAATTCACACAAAGTCTGGAGCAGCCAATAACTGAATCCAGTTCTTCTGTGTTCCAGTCCACTACTTTAACCAAAGTACAATGGTTCCTTTTTATCTAATTTGTGATGCAAAATGTAGATAGGAATTTGTCTGCAGTATTGAAAATGTGGCTTCTTTGAACATCTGATGCAATACACCTTGTATTTCTAATGAATACCTGAATGCCATATTATACCTAACTGAAATAGGGTATAGTGTAAACGTAGTAGAACTAGATATTTCATTCTTGTGCAGAGGGACAGAAGGCCAAAGTGCCAGTTAAGCATAAAATGGTGAGGGCATAGGCTTTGGATAGGGTGAAATTTAATTCATAAATATAGTAGAAAATGTGTACAAAAGGTCATTATTTCTTAGGCAACCTTCTGTATTATGAGATTACTCCATAATATCCCCAAATGTGCATGGAGTACATTTCTATCACACTTTTATTACAAAAATGTTCCATAAACAAATATTTCTGGGTCCAAAGGTCATTTACAACAGCTTTCACTATATGTTGAAAATACTTTATATGGATAGGAACTCTGGAAACAGCATTCTGTAGAGATTATGTTCCATGTACGTGACTTGTACTGGGCACTGGTAAAGTAAGACTTTATAATTGTTCTTCCTTTGCAAATTTATAAGGCATTACCAGTAGCCAATACTGCATTTGAGGATGTAAGCAATGGTATTTGTTGTTGGTTTTTAAAACAGTTAATAATTACCATAGGGAAAACCGCATATGGAAGACTACTTAAATATTTTATTAGAGAGATTTATCAAAGAAATTATGAAGCGTTTCTCAGGCTGACCAAAATTTCAGCTCTGCAGGTGTGATATAGTCCCAAATTTTATCATTACTGCCTAGAAGATATGAGGCTGAGTCTCATAAAAACTATCAGATCTGAAGTGCTGTCAATAAACCAACAGGAATGATATATATTTTTGCAGCTATTGCGAGAAGCTAAAGAGAAAGAGAAGCAGAGATTGGCTCAGCAAGTTACAGTTGAAAGGACAGCGCATTATGGGCTACTTTTTGATGAGTTCCAAGGTTTATCTCATCTTGAAGCACTGGAAATTCTGTCAAATGAAAGTGAAGCCAAGGTACTATATACAAGCTGCATAAATCATAAACATAAGGTTTACTGAAATACTTCTTATAAATATTAATCTTCCCAAACAAGTCGCATTAAAGTCAATAAGAGGTTTTTCATTGATTTCATGGGGATTGATTTGGTCCCTTGTCTTATGAAGTCAGAGAGGGTTTTCTCCATGATTTCAGTGGGACCAGGATTTAGCACAAAGAAAGCAAGAAAGTCTGTCATTGAAAGTTCTAGTTGTTAAGACAGTGTGTTAAAACTGCTAATTCTCTTTCAAGTTTTACCAGAAGACTCAAATGTTTTGTTTTCGTTAAAAGTGTTAAGGAACCTTGCACCAGCTATGTTGAGAGGTTAAAATAAAATGCATTCTAGATTATTTATTTAACTTTCAACTATCTATTTTACATTGTGTTGTTATTCTGTGGTTGACTAGCCCAAAATATAAACAGAGTTGTAGGTAGTCTCTGTGGTGGTGTTTACACAGCAATGTAACCTAGAGTAACTGGGACTTGAGTCAGCTGCCCTGTTTCAGGGAAACCTCAACTAGAGGCATCCCCATTATATTTTAGCCCTAGTTAAGAATTTTCTGACCCATGCTCAAACCTAGAACTCAGACATCCATACTGCAGTGCACTCACCTGAATCAAAAGTAACCATATCCCAGAGTGCCTAGTGCCCTCTTCCTAACGTCAGTGCTCTATCCCAAGGAGTATGGTGTATTGTGGGAAAACTCTACTGTCCATCCTGTTTCCTAACAGTTGTTGTGCTATTGATAGGACTGAGGCTCATAGTTGGCCCTTCTCAAGTACATAAATGACAAAGGGTACTACTTCATTTATGCAGATATTAGTGGTACACAGAGACAGATTTACAAAGGTCCGTGTGGGCTGTAAACTGATCTGCATAATAATCAAATTCTTGAAATCTTGGCAATCCACCCAGGGGATCCAGAAGTAGCTGCTTCCTTCCCTGCTCCATTCTGCCTAAGGTGTGGTGTCCAGCCTGCATGACCCAATTGGGGGATCATTGCTGTCTTCCCAGAGATCCCATCTATTAAAACAGTGTTTCACAACCAGTGGTACGAGTACCCTCAGGGGTACTCAAGAGAAGTCTGGGGGGTACGTCGGCACAACTGAAATTTGGAGAAAACTGAATTTTTGGTTTAAGTTTTACAGAGCTTTATTATTTTTGTACTTTTTACATCCAAAAATATCATTGCCTGCCTGGCTATGATTAAGTTGTTTAAACAAATGTGTTGCAATGGTTTGTTGTGTCTGAAAACTGTAGGGACTGGGGGTACTTATAATTTTTTTTAAATGGGTATTTTATTAAAAAAAAAGTTGAGAAACACTGTTTTAAAACATTCACTCCGCTGCCTGGCTGCTGGTGGAGTGTGAGAGTTCCTGGCTTACCATGGCAGGAAGGAAAAGATCCCCAGCTAGGAGGCCAGGAGCCACATACCACCTGGCAATTTTGCTCCCTAGTCTGGGAAAGCTCCATGTGGCGGTGAGGAGAAGTACGAGCCAGAGCTTCTGCCATTATAGAAGGATGCAGGAATGGGGAATGGGTTCAGCCAGACTGTAAGAACACTGCCGGACCACTATGCTAGCTGCCTGCAACACTGTTATTCTGCCTCCAGGAACTGCAGGATACCTCTGGAAGACTCTCAGTCTCCTGAGTCAAATTGAGGCCATGGGCACACAGGAAAGAACTAGACCTCAGACCAGGCTGAACTCAGGTTCATTCCCTACAACTCTGCCATATCCTGAGACCCTGCGTCTGAGCTTTGGGTCCAGACTCAGATCCAGGCTTAATTGCTGTTTAGACACACTCTGTGAGATTACTTTGAGACACATGCTTTGATTAATACATTCTTTGTGACATCTAGCGTTCAACAGTCAATTTATTGGTTCTGCTGTGCCTTGTTGAATACTCAGTGGTGGTATTTATACATTGCACCATTTTTCCAAATACATTTCTTAATGTATCTTCCTCTACCTTTTTCTTTTAAAGGCCATCTCTCCCTGTCCTCGAAAAAAATAAAGTATAAGGAATAGTGTCTCTTAAACATAAATGGCCCTACTTTCTAAAAAGGGACTCACTGCAGCCTCCTCTTTTTCCAGCATAAATAACTTCAGGCCCTTTTCAATAGCACTTTGACACCTACTCTCCTTATTGTTATTGTGTTTGAAACTATTTCTACAAAAATCATAGATTTGTTAAAAACAAACACCTTCACATTCATCATAGTCAAAACTTAGCTTGAATCATTTATATGCATGTTAACCAGAGCTCACAGACTTCTCTACAATGAAATGAAGTCTTATCTCTTGTAATAAAAAATGTTCAGTGCTTGGGTATCAGCTGTAGATTTAGCAGCCTACACAAGGGGGAAACTGACAGCTGTTTGGGGACTTTGCCAGGAGATTCCTAGTTGAAGCAGGTAACAGACTGGTGAATATCCACCAAAAACAATTTATGGGAATTTGATGGGATGCTTGTGAGGAGAGCAGACTACTAAGTCATCCACTAAGTCCATAGCCTTAATTTTCAAAACTTTCAGTGGACTGGAGTCAGACTTCTCAGGCATGATGATCTGCCATGAGAAAAATTGGACTATCAGTAATGTGGGTAAGCCCTGTGGTAGCAAGGTCCAGGGAGGCTTCTCTGGAATTCCCTGAGACACCTTTTCAGACTGATAGCAAGTCTTCCCCTATTCTCTTCCTACCCATTGTGTTCACTAGAACCTCCCCAAAATACTTAAAACATTTGTATGTGTTTTTTCCTTTGGGATCAAGAGACAGCCTGAAGATCTTATATGATCTTTGTGTGATATTTGTAAGAAACTCTGATGCTAAGTTGATGACTAATAATTAATCCCTAGATAAAGTGTATAAAGGACCTGATCTTCTAATGGTAGTTCTTGTCTACTGCTAAACACACATTGGGGTCAAGATCAGAATTCATAATTTCAGTAAAGAGAGGGCTAATTTGGGCTCGTAATGACCACTGTCATTTTCTTTTTCAGATTCAGTCATTTTTAATGTCACTTAGTGGAGAAGAGTTGGAAACTGTGAAAAATGACTTAATTTCTATTAAAGAGATCTTCATTCCAAAGGAATCAAACGATGAAGAGGATCAAGAGAAAAAAGGTAATTAAAAACATTGGAGTATTCAATGTGATAACTATTAAATCTATATGTTTAATTAAAACAATCTTTAATGAAAATACCATGCTTTAATGAACTGAGAATTGACAACAGTCAGATAATTTGGAGTGAATTTCTCTATAATACCCTAAAACAGGCAAATACAGTAGAGACTAGGGAAGCTTGGGTTAGATTTTCATTTCAAATTCAGACCTTCTGATTTATTGACTCTGCTTATTAAACTGTATATGTACAATCGGCAAAACATTCTTGGGAGTTCAGCAATAACTTTGTACCATAATGGCTGTATCTAGTACCCCCTGTTTACCTAGAACACAAGGTGGAAAGGATTCTCCTTGCTCAAGCACTGTTGAAGAAAGCCCTAAAGCTGCTTCCAAGGATTCTCTTTGCAAGTTCCAATTTAGGGGGCATGCAGGGTACTAAAAGGATGTGTCACAGGCCAGGCTGCCATGTACAGCACCATAGGGATTGCAGACCATGCTGTGGTCCAAAAGATGCTCTAGGGAGGTTTCCATAACTTAGAGAAACCCATAGAGATGCCTAAATTATGTCAGGCAGAGGGCTTTGCAGGATCAAGAAGGCTACATAGGTGGCTTAAAACCACCATAGTTCCCCTCTCCTCCTGAGTTGTACATTTTGAAATGAGGTCTTGAAATCAGTGGAAATGGACTCAATAACTTAGAAGATCATATTTTACACATCAGGGTCTTCTCCTATTTCAGGGATGCATGCCATGGGACCGTACATTTTGCAAAATACTGAGTGATGTGTGACCAAGCATCTGAAATTAAGAGTAACTGAAATAAAACCTTATTTAAAAGAAGTGTCTAGAGATATTTCATTGTTTATACCAGTTGGAGTAGCAGCAACTTCTGTTCTATTCTACATATTGCCCTCATCGCTGCAGTCTCCAAGCACCTTCCATTAATTTATTAAACAAAGGGACTAACATTTGTCTCATGTGGTTCGTCCTTTCATCCTCTCCTCGAGGGAAAGCAGTGTGTGCAGTGTAGTGTTTTAACTTGGTAGGTTGTTGTTTTTTAAATGTAAACACTGTTTTGAGCTTGTATTTCTTTGACTTGAGAGAGCAGGTCAAAGAAAAATGGCTTGCAGTTGGAGTGGAAGGTGGTGAGCTCTGTGATAAACTTTAATGCTTGGGGAATTCATTCCACAGCCTGGGTCTAGCTTTCAAGAATACTCTTAACTTCAGCACAGGTAAGCTTTACCACTAAAGTGAAAAGTTTCATTATGTCTCAGGAAGGGAATTATCAACCAACACCCACCTTCTCAAGCTCTAAGCAATCTTTTAGATAGGCTGAGCACTAACAACATAGAGCTCCTTGAAGATAAAGTCTGAAGCAGAAAAGATTTTGTAGATTTTGCTCTGCAAAAGCAGATCAGTTAGAAAATGAAAACACATCCTCCCTTGTGACAGAGGAAGTAATAACCACAGACGTGTTCAATGCAGCGTGCAGCAAGGAATGGTCTTCAGAAAGTGCAACAGTTATTTTAGCCTGTAGTAAAATTAACTGCTGTTCAAGATGAATCATTTCCTTTAACCACAGTAAGTGCACATCAGGAACCTTCACCTCAGCGCTGAAGGCCAGGGCAATTACAATGCATCACTTAAGTCCCCTGATCCATTTTATAATACAGTGCATTGCATATCCATTTGTGATCAGCCTGCTAGTGGTGGACAGGATTTTTCCACTCCCCCTGCACAATGGCAAATGTTACCCCTAGCGCTTAAGCAGAAATTCCCACAATTACATATTTTTACCCATCATAATGGTGTTTGTCCACAGATATTTACAAACAAGGGGACTATGTCAACTTGCATTTTTATTGACTAATTGCAAATAATTTCACTTAGTGATTGTGTCCCCTTTAGATGATATGTCCATTTTATTTTCATTCAAGAGGCTGAAGTAGACTATAAAATATATTTAAATGTGTAACATCTGGCCTTAAACAGAGTTACTAAAGCAGATGGAGAGAAAAATCTGGCCTTTGAGAAATGAAGAGCAGACCCATTTTCTTTTCAGATATTTGGAACATGCTTTCAGGCAGCTGTGTTCATTCTCTTGGGGACAAAAGTTGCCAGCCATTTGGCTTATGAATCCCAATGTTCTGCTGCTCAGCTAGAAAACTTGTATGTAACTGAGTTAGGTTTTTTTTTCTTTCTGTGATTCAGTCTCTTGAGGGCTGAAATACTTTCATCTAACCCTAGTTATTGTGCTCAATATGAGGGTAACCGAATGAAATTAATGGCCTGTGATATACTAGACATAAGATTAATTGTCCCTTCTGGCCTTAAACTTTATGAAATGATGATCAAGATAAACCCTTATGGGAAAGTCCTATATAATTTAAGAGCGATTAAATCAATAGGCAGCTGTGGAAATTACTGTAACACCTAAAAGAAATTCATAGTGTGTGTAATCCTTTTTATGGGCCTACTCCAAAGCCCACTGAGCTGAAAGGGAGTCTTTTCGCAGACTTCAGTGTGGTTTGGATCAGTCCTTAAAAACTTTTAAAACTATCCTATAGAATTATATACAATAGCCAGGGTATACATTTGTGTGACATGTGGAAATCCAGCATCATCTGAGCTGTGCCAGTGCAGCCTTTGCTCATTTACAGCACAGGGTTTTTGAAGATCATGACATTTGAACAGACACCAAACTTCTTGTCTATCAAGCCATCATTCTTCCAACACTATTGTATGGCTCTGACACCTGGATAACCTACAGACATCATTTGAAAGTCCTTGAGAGGTATCACCAATGCTGCCTCCACAAGTTCTTGAAGATCATATGGGAAGACACGTGCACTAACATTAGTGTTCTAGAAGAGGCAAAGACCACCAGTATTAAGACAATGATCATCAGTCAGAAACTTTGCTGAACGGGTCACATTGTTCAGATGTCAGACCATCACCTCCCAAAACAGGTCCTGTTTTCTCAGCTGAAAGAAGCATACCATAATGTGGGAGGACAACAGAAGCATTATAAGGACTTGCTGAAGAATAACTTAAAGAAGTGCAACATTGACATTGACACTTGGAAGACACTCACCCAGGATCGTTCAAAAATGGAGATTAGTCTTATGGAATGACTCTCTGCATTTTGAATTTGCCTGCCGACAAGCTGAAGAGGAGAAAAGGTGCAGGAGGAAGGGGAGACTGGTTTCTAGTCATGGTCAACAGCTTCCTGCTGTACCTGGAAACATCTGTCCTCATTTTAATAGAGCTGGTGGTTCAAGGATGGGCCTTATCAGCCACCTGAGAGTCCATAACTCCCACGGAAGTTGATCATACTCAGCAGTGAGTGATTGCCAATGATAGGATGTTTCAAAAACGGTGTGGAGAAATTATAGTTTTCAGGCCCATATGAAGGGGTGTGTGAAAGGTGCAAAAGCACCCTCCATGATCCCCCAAGTAAGCACACGCCAAACGGCCAGGGTAAGACAGGAGCAGCACACTGCCCAAGCCTCCCTCCCCCATGCTCTCACTGGCCAGGGGAAGGCTGGGGTTGATTTCTCTGCTCGCTTGGGGGCCAATGGGGGGTTCATTTACACCCTTATGGGCCACATTTACAAACAAGCCCCCTCCCCACCAGAAATTCCTGCGTTCAGGCCTGATTTTCTATAGGGCTGGCATCAGCACAATCATAGGAGACACTTAGGTTTCAGTGCCTTTCCCTTGTGATTGGCTGTACATGGAGCATTGTAAAAACTGTGCACATCCCTTAAGTTGCCCTGTAATATCTCCTTTAGACAACATCCTTGGGATACCTAAGACTAGAGTCCTATTTACCTTTTATCAGACAGAATAAAATGTGGGGTCTTCAGGAGAGTCGGGTAAGGGGTTTCTCATGACCTTAGGAGACCCCATGAGACCTTTCACTGAATTTAACACGTGCATTCCTAAGTGTCTTTTATGAGTGTAGTCAATGCATAAAGCCCCATACAACTTTAAAAAATACAGTTAGTAGGTCTATAAGGAGCAATAATATGTTGTTATAATATAAATATAATACAGCATCTTTAAATTTAATTCTGCTAATGATGTAAATGTTTGTTCCCCTAGCAGAATACAGTTTTATTAACTGCTGCAGGATTCTAATTCATGCAGCCCTCGTTTGCAATGGCTATGATTTAAGCTAGGATTCTATTCTCCGCTTACTGTGGCTCATTCTTCTGTTCTTACTTACAAAACCAAATGTAGCTTTCCAGGTTGCACTAATGTGTGTCCTTCCCAGAACAGATTCTTTGTCTTTTTTCTTTATTTACCTGAAATGATTTGTTTAGGGCTCTTCAGCATATTGCCATTTCATAGTTCTTATTTATAATGGAAAAGTGAGGTGTGCTAAATATTAATTAACATGTTTTTCATGTGAACAGTCAGTGGGATCTCATGTGAACAGTCAGTGTTATTTGGTAAAAGTTAGCTAGTAATGGTCAAACACAGCACATAGCTTCACTGAACATAAGAAGTGTGTTCTTAACTTGAGTTAGATAGCTCCTAGCAAAGTCAAGGAGGCAGTTGTAGTTTTATCACTAGTCAACAAGTAAAGTTGAATCCCAGATCCCCCTATAGTCTTTAACGCAACTCACTAACTTGTGTTAAAACTACGACTGCCTTGTCTTCAGTGGCATTTTAACTCGTTTTCTCCCCATTGAAGACAAACTTCTAGAGAAGATGTTTTTGAACATGCTAAACCCTGGGTAGGTTCTCAGAAGTACCTAAAAAAATGTTAACTAATACATATTGGGTAGCTGTCTTGCTAAAGACACCTTGTTTCCCCATTGTAGACAAGATCACAGTATTTCATTGAGCTATGGTATCATTTTATCTGTATTTTACATATACAAAATATAAGAATTTTTGCTGGAGGAAAAACATTTCTCTACCTTCAGATAAAGTGTTTAGAGGGTTAGTTTCTTTGTTGTAATCTTGAGGGATTCACTCGGTGTTCTTCCCTAATGATTCTGTTGACCTACTACCATTCTGGGGAGTTAAGCCAAGACATACAACTTATACAGAATCATAGAAATGAAGGGCTGTATGGCTATGTCTACACAACAGCGTTATTTCAGAATAACTGATGTTATTCTGAAATAACAGTCCATGTCTACACAGCAAGCAGTTACTTCGACATAATGTTGAAATAATGTTGAGCTTGAGGACTTCTTACTCTGACTCCTGTAACCCTCATTTTACAAAGAGTAAGGGAAGTCGGAGGAAGAATGCTCTAACTCAGACTTCCTGCTGTGTAGACAGAGCCAAAAGCTGAAATAAGCTATTTCAACGTAAGCTATGCAATTGACCTAGCTCAAGTGGCGTTGCTTATTTCCTCTTTAGCCCTGCTGTGTAGATGTGCCCTAAGGGACTTCACAGGTCAGCTAGTCTATCCTTCCATGCTAAGGCAGCACTAAGTATATCTAGGCTATCACTTACAGGTGATTGTTTAACCTGTCCTTAAAAATATACATCTAGTTCTTGTCTCTGCCTTCTCCCTTTTTTCTTCTGATGGAACAAATACTGGAGACAAATGCATTTTGTTGGTCTAACCCAGTGTTTCCCAAATGGTGTTCCGGGGAACCCCAGGGTTCTGCGAAGTGAAAATAAGGGTTCCGCGAGAAAATTCCATTATAATAACATGTTGTTATTAAAAAAAATATTAATTAATATTAAGCATTTATGAATTGTATTGAAAACAATTTTCATTTGTGTTGATCTCATGACCTTGTTTAGCATTGCTTTATTATTATCCTTACTTATTTGTGGTCTACTTTTTCAGCTATATATATAAGACTGCTATTAGGGGTTCCACAAAATTCTTTTGAGTTTAAAAGGGTTCCGTGGCCAAATAAAATTGGGAAACACTGGTCTAACCAATGCAGGCTCCATACTGCTAGAAATGTTTAGGGATGTGATCTTTCTGATTTGATTTTGACTGCTACAACAATAACATAATTCTTACAGAAATCATCTTATTTCCTTTTGCAGCCAACATGGGAGAAGAGTTTGTTAGTATGCTTACTGAGCTGCTATTTGAATTGCATATTGCTGCCACTCCTGACAAACTTAATAAGGTTGGTGAAAGTAACAGAACCTACGTCCACTGCTGCTGCCCCGGAGACCTGAGCCCTTTATGTCACCACCATGGTACCACAAGGCACACTTTGGGCGGTTCTTAGGCTGCCTGTGGAGGGGCAGCATGGCACACTTCAGACAGTATTGAGGGCTGGAGGCCTATGCCCTACCCTTTCTGCCTGAGGCGCTGCCCCTTTAAAGAGCACAGAGCCACACCCCTCCCACCTTTCCCAGGGGCCTGGCACCCCTGTTTGTCTACACTGTTTGTAGCAAGTCAGCAGACTCAGACTAGCCGGGCTCATACTAGCACTCTCAAAGTAGTTGTGTAGACAGCTCTTTGAATTTTCAGCTTGGGCTCTAAAGGCCACTTACTCCCTGAGCTTCAGTGCCTGATCTCCAACTTAGGACACCACTTCAGAGCATTGGCTTACCCACTATTTTGAGAGCACTGCACCCAAGCTCTGAGACGTTTCCTCCTGGCAGGGTCCTGAATCACAGGTTCCAGCCAAAGACTTATCTTGTAATTAAACAGCACCTTAGCTCAAGTCTGAGTTAGCTGGCATGGCAAGGCTTGAATTTTTCATTGTGGTGTCATCATAGCTTTACTGACCAGTGACTAAGGTCAGCTTCAGAATTAGAGTTAGCATTTGTCATGTTTATTTCTCTGTGGGGAAGACCCCAAACATTCTAAGGTTGAAACAAAATGTTGTCATTTGTAATTAGCCTTGGCACTTAAAAAAAAAAGTGGTAAGTGTCACATTAGTTAGCTGGAAAAGCATCATTCATACTGTTTCAACGTTGATCCAGTTATCTGCAGTTCAAAATTAAATTGTTTTATCTCTAATTTCCTTTATTAATTTTGACTTGTTTTAGTTTATTCAAAGAATTTCTTTATTTTTTTCTTTGTAAAATTTCTGCTTTACTTTTTCACTCAGATCTACATTTTCTTTTATTTCTTTGATAATTCTGCATAAAGCTGATGTTTCAGTAATCTTTATCTTAATGATAGCTCTATATGAAGATTAAAGGCAGTATAATATAATTCAATATATGGCCCATCAGTGAGCAATGCTTCAGTGGACATTAAGCTTTTCCCTTATATATTTGAGTTTTCTTACTTGAAATAAACTTTTCTGTAAACTCCATTCATATGCCCAATATAAATAAGAACAATAAAACTAAATAAAGAAATGTATTGTAAACTTGTGTATCAGCAATATTATTTGATTTTCCATACTTGTACAATAAGGGTTTTTTGTGGATGATGTTTGACAGGCAAGGAAAAAAGCTCATGACTGGCTGGAAGAAACCATTTTCAGTCAGAAGAAAAGAAAATAGAGGCTGAAAAAAAGACTGATCAAGGAAGAAAAGAAGATGGTGATGATGATAAAACAGAAAAAGAAAAGAGAAACAGAACTGTGGAGGTAAAATAGTCCTGGAAAGTGAAATTTCTTAAATATAAGTCTCATTCTGCAAACCTTACTTAAGTATTTTTCACTATTAGATTGTTCCCATGAGTAACTGTCAACAGGATCAGGCCCTCTGACAATAGCGACTTCTTCAACTTTAAAAAAAAAATTAAAAGCCTTAAATATACCTCTTAAACAAAAGGTTCAATTTAGGGAGATGGTAAAATCCTACGGTGTTTTGTCATTAGCAATGTCTCATACTTAAAGTCATGTCTCAAAATTTAGCAGTGGCTCTTTCTTCATATGTCCATCAATGAAAAAAAGGATCAACTTATATTGATACTTGTGGGCATTTAAAATACTATATGGACAATGTATCAATGTTATTTACTAGTCAAACCAAAAGGTTACAATTTTTTTAATGAAAGGTCTTCTGTAAGTCAAAATATGCCCATTGATGCTATTGCTTTCTGTTGATATAAGATAAAATTTCTTAATTGAAATTATGACAATGTTAAGTTATATTTTTAATGATCTCTAATAAAAACCTATTATGCTCCCTTAAAACATTTTAAACACTTTAAAACATAGGAAACGGAGCGGTATTGTGTATATTATAGATTGTTATTACAGATTTTCAGATACTGCCAAATTACTGGAAGTTCAGAAAGAGTTTTCTGTATAGTCACCCTGTTGCTAGCAAAATGAATTATTTATCAGGACTTGGAGTATAATTCATTTTCACTATGGATATATGCTTTGGGAACAGCATGATCCTCTCAACACCCTATAAAATCAGTGTAAATTCCATGATTGTTAAAGACTCAATTTTAGCCTCAGAACCAAAATTTCCACCATAGAAATTCGCAGGGCTCAATCCTGTTCCCATTGAAATGAATGTTAATTTTGCTTTTTCATTTTCATTTCTTGGAGGTGATCAAGCCTATGGGTCTTGGTTTGTTTGTAATCTGTAGAGATTTCTTTTTCTCAAGGATGAACAACAGCTGATATTCTTTAGCTATGTATGCACTGGTATTTCTCAATTTGTACTCTGCCCTAGTTTACAAAGTCTCTTACTCAGTCTATAGAAATTATTGTACTGTCTGTTTCATTTAAGGAAATCTACATGCTGTCTATTGAAAGCCTTGCTGAGGTAACAGCTCGTTGTATCGAACAGCTTCATAAAGTAGCAGAATTGATTCTTCATGGGCAAGAAGTGGAAAAGACAGCCAAGGATCAAGCAAAAGTTATGACAAAGTGAATATATATTTTTAAATTTCTTATTTTTGTCATAAGAGCTTGCTTAACATTCACAGTTCTATTGAGCCCATGTCAACAAACAGGACTGAGTTCCTGCCGTTTTATTTTCAAAAACAATCAAATCACAGTCTGTGATTTGCTGACATGCACATCATATATATTTTATAAAAAAATCACAACAAATGCACAGATTGATATTTGTGATAAAATGTGCACACTCATTTAGGTGCACTTTTCACTTGTAGTACCAAAGATAGCATATCAGCATGTGTAGAATTTGCTTTTGTAATAAGTAATAGGGCCTCATTGTGTGCACTCTGCCAAAAGAGCACAAAAATCTATCCATATTTCAAAGCAGTTATGTGATGTTCATCACCAATTTATTGCCAACATACAGGGGTGGGGCACGAGGGAAGTGACATTGTAAACATGTAAATGGTTAACCGATGAGCCTGGGCTAATCAATTCACCTTTGTGATTACTCGCAAGGTCCCCTCCCCATGCAGTATCAGAGACAGCAATGTGGGGGGCGGGGAACATGGGGAGCCAGAGTGTGTGGGGAGCTGGCTTTTAAGTCGACTCCCCATCAGCACTAGCTCCTGGAAAACTGCTTGCCTGCCTTGCACTGTTACCTCTGTATCAGAGGCAGCAGCACATGGGGCGGTTTTAAGCTTAGAAGCTGGCTTCCCGTGAGCACCAATCCCTACCTCCCCCCACCCACCCCACATGGCTGCCTCTGTAGCAGAGGCAGCAGTGCAGGGTGGGCAGGTGGCTTCCTGGAAGCTGGTGATTAAAAGCCAGTTCCCCTTGTGCACCAACTCCAGGGCTGGCCTTATCATTAGGTGAAATGAGGCAGCCACCTCAGGTGCCAGACTGTGGGGGGGTGCCACTAGGACCCAGAGAATTGAGACCTTTCAGAGTTTTGGCCCAAGCGAGGGAGCATGGGAGCATCAGTTGAGCTCCCCACCTCAGGTGCCAAAATGTTGTGGGCTGGCCCTGACCGGCTCCCCACATGCACCAGCTCCCCCGTCCTACTCTGCATTCTGTAGCTTCTGATACAGAAGCAGCACTGCAGGGGGGGGGGGGCAGACAGCTCTGCAGGAGCCAGTACACATGGGGGGCCAGCTTAAAAGGCGGCTTCCCACTCGCACTGGTTCCCAGGAAGCCATCTCCTACCCTCAGTGTGTAAATGTGTAACTGCTGAAATTTTCAGCGATTACATGTTTACCTGAAACACAGATTTTTATATCTCTAGTGGGTACCTAACTTCAAGAGTCCCACCTTCAAAACTGGGACCTAAAGATCCAATCCAAAACCCAGTGAAGGCAGTACAAAAACTCCCACTGATTTCAGTGGGTTTTGGATTAACCCCTCCATAAGGTGGTAAGCATTCTGATTCTGCAAAGTTCTTAAGCACATGCTTAAGTTTAAGTACTTTTCCCATTAAAGTAAGTGGGTGTACTTTTATTTAAAATTCAATTCTTGTTTAAACTGTGTTGTATTAGAGCCAGAATGTTCTGCTTCTTGCAAGATTGCACCCCAGATGAATTACAGTTTTACAGCAAGTCAGTGACAGAGCTGGCTCTAGAATCAAATCTATGCACTCACAATCCCATGCTATAACCGCAAGACAGTGCTTCCTCTAATAATACACTCTACTGCTTTGGAGAAGAAAAAAAACATTGCATTCCTTCTAGCTGGTACCATATTAAAACAAACCAATATTTGATCTAGTCTGGTATCCTATCTCCAGCTGTAGCCAGTGAGGATTTTTCAAATCCAAAGCATAAAGCCTGTGTCATGCTGCTACTTATCAGGTGAGCAATATCCCCCAGGACACTTTAAGAGAAAATTTAATTGACTAGAAACAAGATTATCTGCAGAACTTTGATTTTTGAGAGAAGTCTGGTTTTTGAATTCTGAGATGAAGCAAGAGATAGTTTTAACATTTGTCTCTTTTCTTTTTTTAAACCAGTTTAACAAGTGCCATGTGCAATGACGTGTTGTCTTTATCTAAGAAGTTTTCTGATTCTTTAACTGTAACTGGGGTAAGATAAGACAGTTTTTTGTTTTAATTGTTTATTTTTAAAACACATCCTCTTTCAGAGAGATTCTCATTACTTCTGAAAACTGGCTTAATATGCGAGATTAGCAGTAGGACAAACTAGAGTCCTCTCCAATTCCAGTGAGACCCAGAGCATCTTTTCAGCAGATCTACCATTGTTGCTCAATTTTCTGGCATGCCCTGCCATCCTTAGGCTGGTTGTGTAGCCACTGGATCCATATAGTTCCTGGACCTGCTAGGTATCTTTCTGCATTCCCCCAGCCCACATCCATTGAGTAATCCACACATATCCAAGAACTGCAATGGCCTCTTACCTGCCCTGTCATTCATGTGCATTTGTATTTAAAAAACAAAACAGAACACCCACACACAGCATTGGGAGCTTTATTACGGGTAATATGTTAACAGAAGGGGTTTCACATAATAAATTGACCCTCTAGTGTCTGATAAATCCTCTGGAGATTGTAAGGAGGAGATAGAGAGGCTAGAGCAGGGGACTCAAAACTTCTAGCCTGTGGGCCGTCCCCAGCCAGAGTGATTGCACAATCTGGCCCGGGACTCCTAGCAGGCAGAGGGCATTGTCTGTTACTGGCACCCAAGTCCCACCCCTTCCTACCATTGCCATGCCCTCTGCCCCCTAGGATGCAGCTTTGGAAATCACTGGGGGGACCTGGTGCTGCCGAGCGGCAGCAGTCATGCCCCTTTGCAGTCCCCGTAGTGGCAGTAGCTGTGGGGAAGGAGAGCATAGCACAGCAAGTGCACTCACCCAGTGGACTCTTCTTCCCTTGCAGGTCCTGACACTGTAGAGAGTGCAGGGGAAGGGCGTGAACACGGGGCCAGTAAGTGGCACCATGCCCCCCTCTGATGATTCCCAAAGCCGCATCCTAGGAGTTGGCTACCATGGTGGGGGAGGAGGGAGACAGAGTGGCAGTGGTGAGAAGGGGTGGGGTTTGAGAGTCGGTAACGGACAGGCTCTTCCCACTCCAGAAGGATTGCACAATTGATCCAGCCAGGGATAGTCTGAGGGTTGGGAGTTTGAGAGCCTAGGACAGGTTAAAGAATTAATTCATATATTTTTCTGTTTAAACAAAATCACTGTCTCACTACAGAAAGTTAATCTACTTTGAAAACAAACATCTATTTAGTGCTTTGGCTGGAAAGGTTTAGACTTTGTTCCTGAAAGATATACAAAGGTTACTGCCAGTATAACACAGCTTGTGTTATCTAAAATGGGATACTCCTTATGGACAGCAGGGATGAAGAGATGATAAATTTCACTGTGAAACAATTTTGAACTTACCTGACAACCAAGTAATCTGGCATAGTCCAAAAGAGAAAGAGGTGCTCTTCTGAAATACAGTAAACTTCCGATAATCTGGCACCTTTGGGACCCAGGGGGTGCCGGATTATCAGATTTGCCGGACTATCAGAAAGGGGGGCTATGAGGGGTCTGGAGTGGGGTGGGAGGGGATGCCACCCCAGACCTCTCATAGCCCCCTCTTACGATAGTCCCGCTCTGTCCCAGGCGTCCCTGATTCAGCCGCTGCTGGTCAGTTTCAGCAGCAGCTGAATCGGGGCGCCTGCGGCAGAGCAGCTGGGGTGCTGCTGAGTTGGTCCGGTAGTGCCGCCCCTTGGCGCTGTGAGACCAACCCGGCAGCACCCCAGCTGCTCTTGGGGATGCCTGGGGCAGAGCAGCCGGGGTGCTGCCGGGTTGGTCCAGTAGCGCCCAGAGCAGCGCTACGGGACCAACTGGCAGCGCCCCAGCTGCTGTACCACAGGCGTCTGGATCAAAGCCGCGGAGCATGGGGGCAGCGGGACAGCCCAGATGCGCCATGGCTGTCCTGCTGCCCTCGGGCTCCGCGGCTTTGCTCTGCTTTGCTCCCCGTCCCCCTGGTCTGCATTCCTGATTCAGCCGCTGGTCAGTTTTAGCAGCGGCTGAATCGGGGAACCTGGGGGCAGAGCAGCTCCAATGGTCCAGCTGCCCAGAGCACTTCCGGGTTCCTGATGGTGCCGGACCATCCGGAGTACCGGACCATTGGAGTTTTACTGTAGTTCCATTATATTGGCAGGCATTATCCATAGAAAATGAATTCTTACTAAAGACACAGATGTTTCCTCAGGTTTGTTGGAATTTTAAGAAGAGGCTCCTGCAAGCTACTTTAGGGCATCATTGGATATTTTTTTAAAGTTATTTAAAAACTAACATAATTTATTGGATTGCTTTTATTTTGAATTATTTACATGGCTTTGAGTTAGGCAGACTCATCTGAAGTATTTCTGCATTTTCTAAGCATATTTTAGCATATAAATGTATGCACACACAAAAAACTAACCATGAAATATTAACCAGACCCAACTCAGGATATTCAGAGCTAAGGATTTCACAGCAATTTTATTTCTGTCCCCTGGTGCATCAATATTGAAGGAGGAGGGATTTACATTACAGGAATATAGAATTCAGGACCAGATTGTCACTGTCCCAGGGACTGAGCATCTTTTCACTGCTCCCATCACAGGACTGTGCTCTAGGAATACAATCTGACCTGTACTACACTCAGTAGTACAGAATGTAAATTACATGCATCTAAGTATATAACATAGGAATTATAATGTGCACAGAATTTACCAACCCAATTTTCCACATATTTGTCCAGCTCAGACACCCAGCTAGATTGATTCTAGACAAAAGGTAACTTTCTGACCTCTGAGATAGTGGTTTAGAGTGGAAGAATTCTATCATCATCATAACTTCACTACAACAGTGCTATATAATTCAGGCATTTAGTCATTATAATGTAATTGTGGCCTTGTTCCTAAAAGTCAGCAATTTTCAGAACTAGTGAGTATCTCCTTTTGTTTATCACTCTAGATTTCTTGCTTGCATTTACTATTGATTTTTACAATCAATAGTGTTTAATTGTCATTTTCTTTATGTTTTAGAGATGTTATTGATAATCAACTAAACAATAGGGCTGTGTCTACAGTGGCCCCTTCTTCGGAAGGGGCATGCTAATTTCTAACTTTGGAATAGGGAAATCCGCGGGGGATTTAAATATTCCGCGCGGGATTTAAATAAACATGGCCACCGCTTTTTTTCCGGCTTGGGGAAAAGCCGGAAAAGAGCATCCAGACTGGCGCGATCCTCCGGAAAAGGGCTTTATTCCGGAGGATTGCGCCAGTCTGGACGCTCTTTTCCGGCTTTTCCCCAAGCCGGAAAAAAAGCAGCGGCCATGTTTATTTAAATCCCTCGGGGGATATTTAAATCCCCCGCGGATTTCCCTATTCCAAAGTTCGGAAGAGGCATGCTAATTTCTAAGGGGCCAGTGTAGACGTAGCCTAGGATTTGGAATAGATTTTTTAGTACTGGACAATAAAGATACTGTTCTGCCGTTACTCTATCTTCCTTTTCTGCCCCTGCCACATTATCATCACTTTCTTTTGTTCATCCATCTCCCTTGACTTCTCTACTTCCTGATCTTTTAAAGATATTATTTATCTCATCATAAGCACACTTGAGTGCTTAAACTGCTTACAAGGTGTGAGGATATATGTCCTGTTTCTTTACCTCTGTAACAAAAGCCAAGCAGAACAGGTACCCAGGGAAGTTCTAAGCATAAAGTCTACAAAGAAGTGAAGCAATACTATGTTTTATTTGTTAAACGCTTTTTTTCTGTAACTCTGTGCCATCATGATGTGACAAGGCAAAGTGAAGCGAGACAAGAGTGGGCTGATCACATTTACCACTGAAAACATGCTTTCTACTGGATAGTCCTAAATTCTTACAGGGAGCCCAGAATTCCAGGGCATTTGACATAGCCAAAGAATCAGATAAACAATGAGCCCATCTTGTGCACTGTGATACCAGTACAAGACAAATAGAAAAATATAGACAGGTGATTGTTAAAAGCTACCAAAAATAGAATGCCGTAGTCTTACAATGATCGTGAACATGTGTATTTCCTTGAAAAAAAATTTTAATCAAATAAATCAAGCAGACCGAAGGCCTTCTCTGAATTCATACAGCTAAAACTGATTCATTACTAAGCAAATATATTACTGTTAAATATCTGTGTTTAACCTCGGCATTACATCTTGTCAATATTTGTCTTTCTGTAGAGCATGAAGAAGGCAGAGATTCTTAATCCAATGGTCAATGGTGTGCTTTTAGAGGTAAGCTTTCAATTTCTTCACACTAGGAAAAACTGATAAATTCACTTTGAAATGAAGCACACACATTTATGTCCCTATAAAGAACCATAAACATTTAATGGTAATGGCATTGTAATTCTGCCATCTCATAAACAGCTCTCTTTTGTGTTCTGCAGTCATCCACAAATGCCAGACCCGAGAAGTAATATTAAATTTTGTCAGGATTCCTGAGAATACTCTGACAGAAGTGAAATGCTTTTCTTACTGTGTGTTGTAATTTATTGAGTAAAGCTAGGTGAACAATGTGCAATTTGTTCGGTAAATGTAGCCTTTTTTCCTGCTCAGTATTGCCTATGAAACAGACTATTGCTATTAATTTATCCATTATTTTTGATTGTGCACATAACATTTGCCAAATAATTTCACTGTATGGTTAGTTTGAACAGTACACTGTGATTATTCCTCCCAGGATTCAGTAGTCAGTTTGATCTGCAAGCATACTCAAGTATAGTAGTGTTTCTCTTCCTTTGTTGGTTAACCTAATCTTCAAGCACTTCAGTGATCCCAAAATCTGTTTTCCCACACTAAATTGTACTTGTACAAATATTCACAGATGCATAAAAAGAGAAATCTTGGTCAACCCATAATTCTATTGAAGTCAAAAAGTTCATAAATATTTTTCTCATTCTTACTCTATTTTATACTCTGATTGATTGAGACAGAAAGAATTCAACTGACAGTAATTTTAATTCAACTGACAGTGATTGGCTCAGACAGGATTAAAGTTTACTACATCTGTGGGACCCACTCCTTTGCTCTGCTAACGAGCCACACATTCTTTTTAATCATAAAAATCCATATAGTACAGAATGCTGCATTGTTACTATGTAGCTTTAACCTAACACTTGGGACCCATTTATTTTAAAAAAAAGAAAAGAAAAAGCTATTATCTGAATATTCAGTAGTAACTGGAATATTCTGCTTTAAATAAGCAATACATTTAAAAGGACTATTTTAAAGATTCCAAGGTTTATAGTACAAATTCATTTTATATTCCCACATATTGTGGTATAGAGATTAAAGTTGCTGGTATCTGTGTTGGAGCTTTTACAGTACACCTCTTGGATAAATTCCTAAAAAGATGGATCCATAACATTTGGATCTGAAGTTGAGATTCACTCCATCCCACAAAGTTTAGGGGTATCCAGGTCTTATATATCCAGTATACCCATACAAAGATTTGCTGATAGGCCAGAATTACATTATACTAAAGAGTATGAGCAGGTGCTCTACATAATATTAGAAATTCAGTAAATAATATAATACTGCATTTATGCTGCAGTAGATTATTTAAACTCCCTGATTTCAGAAATGCTACACCTCCGTGCATCAGGTCTGCAATTAGTTCCGTAAGTGGAAAGATTTGATGCTTTTTGTTGAAGAATTTGATTCTGCTTCTGACCACCACAGAGGTATCACACATACATGCACTGTCACACACGCTACATCACACACACATCCTTCTGTCAAACAGAAGGAAGAACAGATCTCTGTATATAATGATGCAGACTGTACTTCCTTGCTATTAATTGTTTACAAACAAAAGAGCTCTTATCTGATTATGTATTTGAACTTTCAGAAGGCCTTAGATAACATCATAAATCTTTTAAGCATTCTAAGCAGTGGTGGGATAAAAGGGAAGGTCCTTTTATGGATCAGTAACTGATTATAAGTTAGGAAACAAAGCATAGAAATAAATTATCAGTTTTCACAAAGGAGAGAGATAAATAGCAGGGTCTGAAAGGGATCGGTACTGAGATGTCTGTGGGTCAGCACATTCATTAATGATCTGGAAAGGGGTCTGTAGGAGGTGCTGCAGCCCATCTGAGCAGCACCTCTGGGCAGTGGGCCTGGCCTGGGTGTGCCACAGGCAAGGGTGCTTCAAGTCAGCTGTGGTGGGTGGGGGGAGGGGCTCCCTCTTTAATCAGTTAACCAGTTAAACATTACATTTAACTAGTTAACCAATTAAACAGGATTTTACATCCCTAGTTCTGACTCCGTATGGCTATTTTAATAGCGATTTCCAGTATAATTGGATAGAGCTCTTAAAAACTTGCATAAATTTGTAGCCTGATGTAGCACCAACTAGACTGAATATGAATAGTCACTGAGATACATTGCAAATATGTACTGAATTACACCTTTTCTTTCTTTAGGGCTGCAACAGCACTACTTATATTCAGGATGCTTTCCAGCTGTTGCTTCCGGTTCTTCAGGTTTCACATATCCAGACCAATTGTTTGAAAGCACAACAATGAGTTTCTCAGCAGTTGTCATCACCGTGTGTAAAAGAAACAACAAGCCTAATCTCTTTAATGTATGCAATTTGAAGAGATGGCACAAAAGATGTCTGGCAACTGAGGGGCCTTTTGGGGACACTAAAGGCAGTTTTGCACATGCAGTACTGAAAAATATTTGAGAAAAATTAATTAGATGTCCTTTAACTTGATACAATTACAGTACTAGAATTGATCATTTATTTTCAAGTTAGTATATATTCACATTAATTTAAACTGAAGAAGTGTTTGTTGAAATTAGTATCAACTTCAATACGAAGAGGGTTATTAATATTGACACTTTTAACTCTAAACAATTACGTCTGAAGGAAATTTGAAAATAATGTTTTTTAAACATTTTAGTCCAGGTGCACCATTTCAAAATTCCACATTTTAATTCTCAATTTAAAGTGTTTACTTTTGAAAGTTAGTTTCTGTATTTAACCTTCATTAATTCTCAAGTTAACTGGGCAAATTAATTCTGTTCTGAGTGTTCCAATATTATTTCTTCAGTGACAGTCTGATAGTAATTCTCTGCACTCATAAAATGCTTTGTGTTCAAAGAGCTGTACAACATTAAGCAAACCTCAGCTAATTAAAACTATGAAAAATATGCATATCAGACATGCTGAAGTGAAACTGTCTGAGCCAGTTAAGGCATAGGCAAAACTGTACTTGTGCTGACCCATATTGTATATTTATTGTATTTATGCCAGTCCCTTTACTCTGATTGGCCAAAAGACATTATAGGCCAGAGTAGACTGATTTGCATAATAATCAGATAATCATTTCCCCAGCTGCACAGTAATTAAGCAAATCCCTTCATTTTGGTTGGCAGTTGCCCTTGCAACTTTCACAATCTGTGCACCCAGAACAAATGGATTGCCTTGTCTTCTCAGCTTTTTCCTCCATCTATCATTTAATCTAAATCTGGAATTTAAATGCAGATTTTTCATAAAAGAGAATACTGCTAGGGTGGAATTGGAAGAAAGTTTTTAGGGAGGGTTAAAGAAGATGAGAAGGAGTTATAAAAAGATTGAGTTAGGTGGAGTGATGAGGTAGGGAGATTACAAGTTAAAAGCATGTTGTGGGAACGTGGAAGATGAATTCTGTGCACACAAATAACCCGAGAGGGTGGAAAGCACGTTTCAGTAGAACAGTAATTTAAGGGTTCTTCTGCTAAACTTGGTGATAGCTATATTTTGGGATTAATAAATTCCCAGCTCTTTAGCCTCATAGTTTATTTTGCCCAGGTTAAAATTATTACCTCACAACTCTAGAACCCTTCATTTATTTAAGTAGCCAGTTCTGAATTGTCCTTGTTTATTATATTTCTCTGAGCTACAATGTAATTTGTCATCCTGATATAATGATGAGTGCTATTTAAATATTGTAAAATTGTAGCTAACATCTGAATATATTTAACCATTCAAGCAATGGTCACACATAAACATAATCAGAATAGAATAGTAGGAAATGTTATAATTGTATTTGTTAGAAATGAGAAGCCATGTATCTGCCTAGACTCAGGGTATGTCTAGACTACATGCCTCTGTCGCCAGAGGCATGTAGATTAGGCTACCAGACATAGGAAAATGAAGCAGTGATTTAAATAATCGCCGCTTCATTTAAATTTACATGGCTGCCGCGCTGAGCCGACAAACAGCTGATCAGCTCTTTGTCGGCTCAGCGCGGAGGTTTACCTGGGTGGTCGACAAATACCTTTGATGTCGACACCCGCGCGTCCAGACTATCACGCTGAGCTGACAAACAGCTAATCAGCTGTTTGTCGGCTCAGCTCGGCAGCCATGTAAATTTAAATGAAGCGGCGATTATTTAAATCGCTGCTTCATTTTCCTATGTCTGGTAGCCTAATCTACATGCCTCTGGCGACAGAGGCATGTAGTCTAGACGTAGCCATAGTAACTGTAGGGAGCCTAAATAAGAGATGACAGAAAGCAAGTTGGTGTTTCTACCTTTCATAATGAGGTCCATATTCTGCTGCCACCTGCATAGTGACTATGTTTAATATTTCATCATTTAGATGAGAGATACTCATTATGTGGTTCTGTGGTTTGTTATGCTCAATTTTTATTCTGCCTGTGCAGCTGAACTTGGCAAGTAATACCTGACATTCATTGTTATTTACACCATCTTGAAATAATAGCCCAATATGAAACAAAGAGGAGCACTTGGGAAAATACAGAAAAGATACAGTAAAGTTGTAGGCAAACTTACTGTCTGGGAAAGTAAAATAAAGCTCTCAACAGCCCTCTTTCCTCGGGGCTTGTTTTAATTCCAAATATTCATTTAATTCCAATACATTCATATTATTAGTTATTAACTGCCCAAATTTCTCCTTGCTTCCAGTAGTTGGGAAGGGAGAGGACACACCCTTCGCCTTTGATAATCTTGACAGTTACTACTGTACAGAGAGACCAACATTAGGACTTCCTAGAAGGAGGGGGTCTCTCCTTTTGGTTTCCTGCCCCAAAGAGAAGAAGCATTGTACTTTGTTTCCAGATACCAGGTCACATATTGGCTCCTTGTCATGTGCCCTGCACCTGCAACTACCAATTTTAAAGGGCACAAGTCCACAGTGAGTACACTGGGGTGTGCTCATGCCTCTAAGGCCTAGTGCCCTGCTACAGCATTTCCTTATTTAAAGCAATATTTTGTTTAATGGTGATGTTTTCAAATCAGTATGTAGTGCATGATTAAAATCCTGTTTTCATTTTAAAGGGAGATTATCACAAAAAGTAAAGTTCCTTTATTTATCAGTTATTATGTCTTAGATGTTATTGACTTTCAATTAGTCTGACCAATAATTATAGTTGAGAAAAGCCTTTCAGTCCAAATGAAACCTATCAGAATTGTGACTCAATTATCGGTAAATGTGATGTGTCTGCCAAATGAATCAGTTCTAAGGAATACGCAAGTGCAGTTTCATATTACCCCATTGCAGAGGTTAATCTTTTTGGATTTAAAATTTGTCACGTCTTATTGTTCTTCAGGCGTCCAGAGCAAAATTCATATAGTCAAACCTGACAATGAAACACTGAAGGGAACAGTGAAAGTTGGTTGTCTAATAAAAGTGTTCTTTTAATTAAAGGTGAACAGAATTATATGGAAACCCGTAGAGGCTACCGTAAGGAGCTGTTGAAGGGAATCATTTAAGTCAGGAGATTGCTGTGTGAGGTGGTCCTTAGAACAGGTTTCACTGTACTACTTAGATTATGCATGTAGTATATCAGTGTTTTGCCCTTAAGTGAAAATAATTATTCTATAAAAAGGGGAAATGGTGTATGACATTCCTGGAAATATCTACACTAAAATCTCAAACTACTAAGCCCTAAAAATTTAATTTTAAAAAACATGTTTATGAAAGTCACTTATGCTATTGGAGAAACCAATTTTTCATAGCGTTGAAAATGATATATTGTTGTTGAGTAATGGTTCACTTTTATGAACTCTTTTCCTATCCCGAAATAAGGGCTTCAGATTAAACAAGGCTTTTACACACATTGGAATGAAAAAGTGTGTTGAGCTGGAATATCTGCACATTTGCAAATCTGCAAATTATGCCAACTATTTCAGGTTATAGCTTCTTAGCTCCGCTTTAGTTGGGCTTCATACTATTTGACAGGGCATTTTTTGTATGTCTGTGTCAAAAGTATTTGCAATTTTTTTCCAAAATGGAAAAAAGAAAGGCATAATTTATTTGTTGCTGCTATTTATTGTTCAGTTAGAAATGGCTTTTCTCAGTAACTGTCTCCTACACTATGGCATCCATTGCTTAAGACAATTGAACAAAGGAACTGCCATTTCTACTTTTTTGAAGTCCCTTAGATTATTCATTGATTATCATTTTTTTCTAAATTGTAAAACATGCCTCTATCCTTTTACATGTAATAAATTATTGCAGCCAGCAGCATTTCAGATGTTTTATTAATGATGCTAGTGTCATCAGCAGGTAAGGCTTCATAACAACTTTCATGAATCTGAAAGATAGATGAGTCCTGTTTGACACATTAAAGAACTTTTAATTTTGTCTGACTCACAGAAGCACTTTTTAATCACATGAACAGTCACCTACTGGTAGTATTATCTATTAGACATTTTATTTTTAATTCAAAATGACAGCGCTGTCTCATCTATTGATCTCAAAGGAATGGGACAACTGGGTAAGGAGTTATCTGAGATCTTTTTAAAGCCAGCTCAGAGCAAGGCTTAAAGTGACACTGTCAACTAATCTGACCTACTTGGAAATTGTCATAATCTGACTGAAAGGCCCTCTGGACTTTAAACAAGTATATTTCTTTTACCTAAAAATCAATTCTGCTACTGAGAATATGAGGACTAAAATAACCACTTCTATCACAGGACTTCTGCATTTGCATTATTTTGGTTCCTGACTCAGCATATCAACATAATTATCATTGTTGATTCTGATTGTGCATAAATGTGGAATTAGTATGAAAATGAACAATAATTAATTTCAGCTGTATTCAGAAGCCATGAGGAAAGAAATAAAAGGATTTAATTTGTGGTAAAGAGAATGTTTTTTTTTAAACTGATAATACCAGAAGAAACTTTTTTAAAAGTGTGTAACATTGTTCAAAATAATAAAGAGATGATATCTAATTAGTTCTGGACTCTATTCTGTTTGCACATTATACATGTGATAAAGTTATGATCATTTGTATATAAGCTACCATAAATTTTTAGTTCTGTGATTAATTCTTCTTTATCTGTCAAAATTCAGTCAACAAAATGAATCTAAATATGGGCCTGAACACCAGCACCCAAGAGTGAGGCACTGTAATTCAACAATAATTTTTAAACATTTATGGAGACATCCCAGTCTCATCTTTTGAGAATATTACCTGACAGACTCATCCATGTTGCTTCTGATCACTTTGGACTGTTCATCAACAACTATAAGGCACAGGGTAACATAGAAAGCATTAACACTCAGGAATTGGTTGGTTACATTGGGTAGAATTGTCCAAAAACGTTGCCCAACATTTTTTTTCACCAAAACATTCAAGTTGACTGAAACATACTGAGAATTTGTGGTGAATTAACTAAATTGTTTTAGTCAAAACCAAAACATCTGGAAATAAGTATTCCTTACAACATTCCTTTCATTTCATTTTAATTTTTAAAGATAAAAAAAAATCAAATAGAATGAAACATTTCATTTCTGAATTCCCCTGAAACATTTTTGCAACTTTTTCAATTTGCTAGAAACATCAAAAAATTCAATTTAAAGTCAACCCAAAACTTTCTTTGTTCATCCAGAAAACTGAAACACCTGCTATTTGCAGAGTTCTACCGAGAGCTGGTCCCTAGCAGTTTTCATGAGATCATATGTGGCCTCCCCTTGTTGACTAAATTATCAGAGTTCAAACCAGCAGTGGTAGAGAAAAAATTTATTTTTAAAATATTAAGATGAAAAAGTGAAAAGAGCAGGAACCACATGGGAAGGAGACTGAGCAGGAGACACGTCCCATTAAAAATATGGAACTGAAGAAATTCACGCACATTCCTGCACTTAACCCTTCACTGTAGTTCCTTAAGAATGCCATATGTATTCTGAAAGAACTGCCTCGTTGCATTATGCTGCTCCTGATAACCTGCTGCCTCTCCATTCTCCCACTAGTGTCATTATCCACAATTGGACATACATGCCAGAATGAAAAAAGGTAATTTTTAGTCACAGGGAGATAAAGTTCTGGGACAGAAAGATATTAGATCTTTGCAGTTTCTGTCTGATAGTGGGGAACGCTACACCTGTAGCTCAAAATAAGCTATTCAGTTTGAGCTGCGCAAATTGTGTAGCTTATTTCAAGTCAGTTTTGAAATAGCTTATTTTGAAATTTGATATTGTCTGCAGAGCAGTTATTTCAAAATCAATCGCTATTCCAAAATGTCCCCTACTTCTTGTGGAATGAGGTTTACAGGGACGTCGGAATAGTGAGCCCGTTATATTTTGAAATAATGGGCGCACTCAAAAGACACAGAATAGCTATTTCGGGATTCTGAAATAGCGCTGCAGTGTAGATGTAGCCAGGGTGTTTTGAAAAGAATTCTTAACACGTAGAGATAATATTAGCCTGCAAATAATACATGCATTTGCAATGTGATATGGATTTTGAGCTGCATACAGAGACGCATGAAGACATCACAGAGTAAAGTGGTAATAGTTATACTCATTAAAAACCAGGTGATAGCATGCCTTTAATAATGTGTTCAAATACGGGCACAATACAATTTGGAGGAAAGCGACAAAAAAGTATGGATGGATTGATGAGGCAGAAATCAAATAACTAACATAACTTATAGTTCAGTCCAATAACATCTAATGGGGAGAAAGAGGAATTGTATAGGCTCAGCATCAGCAGAAATAATGGAATTAAATTAAGGGGGGAAATAGGATTATATGAAGAAAAAATTCCTGACAGTGAGATCTCCTTCAATTACTGAGTAATCTTCTATAGAAAGCAGTAAAAGTACCATACCTTGAAGCATTTAAGCCTTCACTGGAAAAGCACTAGCAATCTGTCATTGATTTAACAAAATATAGGACTATGTAGCACTTTAAAGACTAACAAGATGGTTTATTAGATGATGAGCGTTCGTGGGCCAGACCCACTTCCTCAGATCAAATAGGGGAAGAAAATAGTCACAACCATATATACCAAAGGATACAATTTAAAAAAATGAACACATATGAAAAGGACAAATCACATTTCATTTGTCCTTTTCATGTGTTCATTTTTTTAAATTGTATCCTTTGGTGTATATGGTTGTGACTATTTTCTTCCACTACAGGCAGTCCCCGGGTTACGTACAAGACAGGGACTGTAGGTTTGTTCTTAAGTTGAATCTGTATGTAAGTCAGAACTGGCGTCCAGATTCAGCCGCGGTTGAAACTGATCAGTTTCAGCAGCGGCTGACGCCAGTTCCGACTTACATACAGATTCAACTTAAGAACAAACCTACAGTCCCTGTCTTGTACGTAACCCGGGGACTGCCTGTAGTGGAAGAAAATAGTCACAACCATATATACCAAAGGATACAATTTAAAAAAATGAACACATATGAAAAGGACAAATCACATTTCATTTGTCCTTTTCATGTGTTCATTTTTTTAAATTGTATCCTTTGGTGTATATGGTTGTGACTATTTTCTTCCACTACAGGCAGTCCCCGGGTTACGTACAAGACAGGGACTGTAGGTTTGTTCTTAAGTTGAATCTGTATGTAAGTCAGAACTGGCGTCCAGATTCAGCCGCGGTTGAAACTGATCAGTTTCAGCAGCGGCTGACGCCAGTTCCGACTTACATACAGATTCAACTTAAGAACAAACCTACAGTCCCTGTCTTGTACGTAACCCGGGGACTGCCTGTAGTGGAAGAAAATAGTCACAACCATATATACCAAAGGATACAATTTAAAAAAATGAACACATATGAAAAGGACAAATCACATTTCATTTGTCCTTTTCATGTGTTCATTTTTTTAAATTGTATCCTTTGGTGTATATGGTTGTGACTATTTTCTTCCACTACAGGCAGTCCCCGGGTTACGTACAAGACAGGGACTGTAGGTTTGTTCTTAAGTTGAATCTGTATGTAAGTCAGAACTGGCGTCCAGATTCAGCCGCGGTTGAAACTGATCAGTTTCAGCAGCGGCTGACGCCAGTTCCGACTTACATACAGATTCAACTTAAGAACAAACCTACAGTCCCTGTCTTGTACGTAACCCGGGGACTGCCTGTAGTGGAAGAAAATAGTCACAACCATATATACCAAAGGATACAATTTAAAAAAATGAACACATATGAAAAGGACAAATCACATTTCATTTGTCCTTTTCATGTGTTCATTTTTTTAAATTGTATCCTTTGGTGTATATGGTTGTGACTATTTTCTTCCCCTATTTGATCTGAGGAAGTGGGTCTGGCCCACGAACGCTCATCATCTAATAAACCATCTTGTTAGTCTTTAAAGTGCTACATAGTCCTGTATTTTGTTTCAGCTACACCAGACTAACACAGCTACGTTTCTATCACTATTCTCATTGATTTAAGACAGTGGTTCCCAATCTTTTCGAGCATACAGACCCCTTTTCAATCTATTAACATTTCCAGCCCCCCCCCCCCCTCCCTGAGAAAAAAAAAGAAAAGGAAAAGAAAAGTAAGGAAAGAAAAAAAAGTAAGGATCAGGCCCACTTATTTTTAAACTTTCCACGACCTCCCCAACAGTACCATCATGGATCACCAGGGGGTCCATGGACCATAGGTTGGGAACCACTGATTTAAGATAACCTAAACATCACTTTTCCATGTGTAAGTTCCCTAGTTTCAAAAAAGCAAATGAAAACAAACTGAAGACAAAAGTTTATTTATGTACTACTTTTCAGTGGTCCTTTCTGGAAGTTTGAAATTATTATTACAACTAAACATAGCCCCAAAGATTAAAAAAATCAAGGTTTTTCCTGATTTTTTGTAACATTATGATACAAACAGTAGAAATAAATATTACAAGTTTATCCAACTAGATATAAAAATTTCAAATAGGCTTAGCCATTCAAAAACTAATGTTCACAATTGTTCCTATTAAATCTGAACTGCTTGGTACAGTATAATGACTAGAGAAGCAATTTCAGAAAGCTTCTGGAGGGAAGAGCCATATAAATGTAAAAGCTGGAGGTTATGAAGTATTAATATGATGCTAAATTGCTGCATATCATATTTGCAATGGGCAGTTTACAATCTGTTCATCCTGATGGATTTAGCACAAGGGAGTAAGAAGCCCTGGCTCTGCAATTTCTGTCTCTTGTTAGTAATTTATGGCTAAATTGTACCCACAAATAATGTGTACGCACAGAATGAGTTTGGGACCCTGCTCAGCTCAAACAGCTCCACTACACTCAGAGGAGCAGCAATAAATGGAAAATAAGGAGAAGTTGCAGGAGATAATGAGTTTGAATACTAATGATCTAAGCTAGTGCAAAAATAGGATTGCAATTTATCAAGGATACCAAATCCATTTGCTGCTGCTAATGACTTGTTTTAAAAAAATTGGTTTTGTAGTATGGAGCCAAATCTGTACTATTTATCCACATTTTTTCCTTAACCCATTAAGATCCTACAGTCTTTGTGCATGCAAAACTCTCATTGACTTCACTGCCAAAGTCCTATTGTGTTCACATTGAACTTCAAGATTTAGCTTATGATGTGACCCTTCTTGCCTCTTCATCAGCAGTCAGGGACTACACCTTTTCAGGATCATTGTCACGTATGACATTCACATTACACAAACATATTCATCGTCTATCAAAATATACATTTTTTCCCATTTAAAAGAGACTCTCAGAGAATTTTTATCACAGAGAATACAAAATGAGTTTCTTCTTAGCTGGAAAGAAAAATTATCGCACAGATACAGGCAGTCCCCGACTTACGCGGATCCGACTTATGTCGGATCCGCACTTACGAACGGGGCTTTTCTCGCCCCGGACCTCACGGGCGGCGGGTCACTACCCGAGGCCTCTGGGGCGAGAAAAGCTTCTCCCGGTCTCCCTGGTCTGTTGGGGGAGTCCAGCAAAGCCGCTGGACCCCCCCAGCAGACCAGGGGGACAGGAGCAAAGCCGCCCAGGCGGCGGGGGTTGCGGCTTTGCTCGGGTCTCCCTGGTCTGCTGGGGAGGGATGGGGCGCAGCTAGTGCGCCCCCCCCCAGCAGACCAGGCTTTTGTTGCGGGACGCCTGGGGCACAGCAGCTGGGGTGCTGCCGGGTTGGTCCTGTGGGAACCTACCGGGCAGCGCCCCAACTGTTCTGTCCCAGGCTCCAGATTCAGCCGCTGTTGAAACTGATCAGGCTGATTCCAGGAAGCTGGGGGCAGAGCAACTCTGCCTCCGGCTTCCTGTAGTCAGCCCCTGGTCAGTTTAAGTGGCAGCAGCTGAATCTGGAGCCAGTTCCGACTTACATACAAATTCAACTTAAGAACAAACCTATTGTCCCTATCTTGTACGTAACCCGGGGACTGCCTGTAATCTCCCAACTTTGTGAGTAAGTATAAATCCTGATTGAACCCAGAATATATATAAAATCTATAGCCTCGCACTGAGTTTGATGCTACAGCAGTATATCAGTTAATCTGTTCATATTTTAATAGCATGGACTTGATTAATACAAAATCCTGTTAACTGAAGTTCTTGGCATTCTTAGGAATAAAAGGTGCCTATCATAGCCAGAAAAGATGTATTGGAAATGAAGAGGTCTTTGTTCATGGAGCATCGATTATGTTACATACTGGAATGCCTGAAACTGAAGAACTTATCAGATAAAAAGAATGAGGGTGAAAAAGGAGAGCTATTTCTTATTTACTTTAAGTTTAGTGGATCCCCTCGCAAACTATTTCATAAATGTAGTTTTTTCTAACTTTCATTGTATTGAATTTTCCTCTTCATCTTACAAGAAAAAAATTCAAATGAACAAACACTCAAAATGAAGGCTATGCTTCAGACAGGAGCAAATTCAACTTCCAGGGAATTCTGAAGCCCCGATAGCTCAGGTTTTCCAATGTAAAGGGGGTAGAGTAGTCACTACCTATCAACAGACCAGTCCCTAACTGTTCTTTCCTAACTACCAAGATTCTGCACATGAAAATTTCCTTCACCAAATAATTAAAAATAGATTTCTGTGTGTCTGTTCCATTGTGGTTTGGTTTTTTGTTCTTTTTTACTTAAGTGAACCCTATAGCAGCTTGACTTCCAAGGCAACTTCTCAGTGCTTCACTGCTGCTGGTACTTTTGAGAATTAATAGGTGCCTACAGGAGGTGTGCAGAACTGAGGACACCCTTTTGAAAAAGGAAACGACAGGAAATAGGAAGAAATCAACTAGTGAGAAGAAAAAAGCAGCAATTAAGAGATTGAAGGAGGAATTAAATCTCATCTTCATCTAATGTGCCAGCATACCAAGGGTCACATTTGTCAATATTTAAATGAGGCCAACCATTTCCTCATTTGCATATGAAAGAAGGTCTGTCTGCTAGTCAATGAGTGAGAGCCAGACTGTGGGAAGCTGAGCTGCAGAAAATGTTCCAGACTTCATAGCTAGTTAAGAGTTGCCAACATTCCTTGACTGGATGGATCAGATGCCTTTGCTGTGAATGGGACCCAGTCGGGAAAATTGGCAACCCTATAGCTAGTCTTTATCTCTAATGGGGCAAAGGAGAACCCCATACCTAAGCAACATCAAACTCTGACAATGTCCAGAACTAAATGCGCTGAGCCATCTGCATGATGGTCAAAAAGGAGAGTCAAGAATTCTGCAGCCAATATTCCCTTCTTGGGTGACAAAGCAAAAGATGACATGCCTCCTGTTCTGGCAGTTACTCAGGTTAATTGAACCTTGTGTTTCATTCACATTACCCCATAGGAGCTTTGGGTAAAAGGAGTTTCTGAGGACAGGAATTCACATTGGCTGAAGCAGCTGCTGAAGTGAGCCATAAATTACAACTATAAGCTGGTCAGAATGCATCAAAAATTGGTGCCAGCCAATGGAAAGAGCAATTTCTTATTGCCCATTGCAGCCAAATCAGGCAGTCCTGCAGCCAAAGCAATCTAAAGACCAAATCCTTCTTTTAACAGCTTCTGAATCTCTGATGGATTCTAAGACTGGGGGAGGGGGCCGAAGAGTACATCATGTTGTGTGTTTTTTAAGCAAAAGCAGCTTGTGCCAAATGTTCTGAAACATACTCAGCAATCTGTGACACTACAAGCCACATTACACTAACAGACATAATGGGTTTAAAAACTTAATTTAAATATTAAATATATAATGAGGCAGAAAGGGCAGAAAATAACTATACCGCTCTGATATTTAGAAAATAAATCTGTAACTGATTTGCCTGTAATGCATTCATTATAATATTTGGGGCCATATGCTGAGATGAATCAGTGTCCAGAGAGCTGTATACAGGGATTGAGGACAACAAACTGAAAATTTTATTAATTGGCATATCTCCAGTGTATAGATATTAAAAGTCTCTACGTTCAGTCCAACCAGCTCACCCTTACCATTTAACCATAGTAGTATACCAATTCAGCAATGCAGTACCCTAGGATACACATTTTATATAATTGGCATTTTATACTTCAAGGAAAATCAAAGGGACCCCATCAACTTAAAAATCATATTTTTGTCTGGATATTTTGCCTATTTTTTACAAATAAACATTTAAGATTCCTAAAACAGACACTAAACGTTATTTTGGTCTCCTCGCCTATTACCAGCATATTTCGTTTTTATATTTGTCAGCTGCACTGTTGCACCTGTACAATTAGTAATTTTCTCCTGCTGAGTGAGTCTCTTACTCAGAAGCAAGGAAAAATATTTTTAATAGGAAGATGTGATTTTAAAAAACAATCACAAAAACTGAAGCATGAGTATACTCGAGGCTACTTTAATTCACTTTATTGATAGTTGTGTATTCTATTAATGTTCTTATTCCGAGCTTTTAATAATGGAACATCAATGCTTTCTCGTAAGGCAGGAGGGGTCTGATCCAAAGTCCCCTGACGACAATTGAAAGACTCCTGTTGATTTCAGGCCCTCTGCAGCTAGATTGTTAGTGTTCTTTTAAAAAAGATAACAAAGAAGATTATCAAAATTAATAGAGTAGAGTTTGGGATATTATATTGTTGTCTCCTTTCAGTTAATTGTCCAGCACTGACTCATGCCCTACCACATATTCAAGGGTCTGATCCCTCATGTTAACATATTTTACATGAGATCAAGAGTCAGGTTCTCTTTTCTGATTATCTGTACTATAGGAAGTTTCATCTTCCTTACAACTACATCCTCATTTTGTTTGTTACCCTAACTGTGCTGTATCTCTGTAGTGTAAACTGAATCGGAACCTTTGATTGTAACTCCTTAGGAGAGTGACTTGTCTTATTTGACTGTGAAGCATCATAAACAATCATGGCATGGTAGAAGTAATAAATTATAGTGAAGCTCTGTCCATATCCAAGGGACCTGAAAGCACTTTGTAATGTAAAGTATTGATGATGTACCAGAATTATGCAGGAAAAAAGAGTAAACTTTAATATGTGGCCCACAACAGTTCTTGTACAATCTTGGACATTAATCCACTTTAGTAAAAGAACAAATGTTAGGACAGTAGGGTTATCTCCTCCTGCCCTTGGAGCTTTTGTTGCCAAAGAGACAGAAGCAGTAAATAAAACATTTTCAGTAATATTGATTTATGTGGTGAGAATTTAATCTAGCACCAGCAAGGAAAATGAGTGAGCACATCTTTTATAAAAAATATCTTTGTATCCAGCTGACCTTAGGATATTGTTCTTTTCAGAGGTGAAATGTCAGTTTTATGTCTGGTTCTAATTTTCCAAATGATATTTTCTTTTTATATTCCTTTTTTATTATCTTTCTGAGAACATGCTGCTGCTTTCCCTTACATGGGCAGGGGACAAAAGCCCAACACACTGTGTGATGGAGGTATGCTGTACAAGTTCTAACAGATGAAGGCCTGCCAATGGGGAGAGAGGTTGTGGGCAAAGGAAGAAACTGCCCAAAGACCTAGTGATTCAATGGGGACTGGGGTTAAGGGTCCCTGTAAGCCAGGGGTGGGCAATAATTTTGGAAGGGGGGGCACTTCACAAATTTCAGAAGTGGCTTTTTGCCATCCTGGAAAGGGTGGAGTAAGAATAGTTTAATTTAAAATATGAAACAGATTAAGCGTTTTAACTTTCTCATGTTAGTTTATCAAATTTCATTTTAAATAAAGTAAAATATTATGTCCAGCACAAAAGGTTTCAATGTTTTCTTTATTTATGGGAGAGGTAGGGAATCCTTTTTGGGTTGGGTGGTCACTGACCCACAAAAAAAAAAAAATCAGTTGGGGACTACACAAGTGAGAAGCAAAAAAACCCCTCCAAAACCCCCCAACATTCACTGATTTGGCCCCAACTGACATATCTCACTCCTTTGGTGCCCCAGCCTCACGGGGTAAAGGGAAGGGATGGGAGAAACTGAGGTTCAGGGCTTCCCATAGACCAGATTTCTTTTTCTGGGGTTCTGGAGTTAGTGGATTTTATAGACCTCCTTAGGCTCTGGGATAGGAATAAAAATGAGGGTTACAGTGCATAAGATAGGGCTGCCAGCAAGTAGGATAGGGACAGTATGCGGGATCTGGAGGTAGCTGGGGTGCAGAAGCAGGCTGGGAGTAGGATGTCTGGCCAGGTGGAGGGAGCAGGAACAACAAAGGGTGCAGTGTGTGGCCAGGAGAGAGGATGCAAGAACAGGGGAGGGTGCTGGAGCAAGCTGAGGGTGCTGGGTCTTGGGGGGAGGGAAGTGACAGAATTTGGGTGGGGGGGGGAGGTCTGGGCATGAGGGGGAACCTTATCTGGCTTCGTGCCCCCTTGCAGCAAAAACTGCAGCCATGCTGTCCCAGGTGCCCTGGAGGGAGGCCTCGCTGCCATGGCCACATGGTCTGGGCCTGGGCCAGAAGCACTGCAGCCACAGGCTGTCCCAGAGGTGCAGCTGCCGCAGCCATGCAGCTTGAAGCCAGTCCCAGAGGTACTGTAACCATGTGGTCGCAGGCCACCCCGGAGGCGCCATGGCCTGGGGCCAGCCCCGGAGGTGCCACTACCATGGCCAAGTGGCCCAGAGCTGGCCCTGGAGGTGCCACTACCACAGACTGGGGTCGGCCCCAGAGGTGCCACTACTGTGGCCACATGGCCTGGGGCCAGCACCATGGCAGTGGCGCTTCCAGGCTCTGGGGCTGGCCCCAGACTGTGTGGCTGCAGAAGCGGTGCCTCCAGAGCCGGCCCGAGGCCAGGTGGCTGCTGTAGCGGCACCTCCGGGACCGGCCCTGTTGAGGAACCTCGTCTCCAGAATTGCTTCCGCTCCAGCGGCTGCACAGGTGGTGGAGGGCCAGAGCTGAGCTCTTTCTCCCCCTCCCCCCTCGTGCATGTCCATGAGGGGGTGGGGCCTGTAATTGCCTCATGGAAGGGATCAAAGTCCAAGGCAGGCCAAATCTGGCTCACTGAGAGGCTTTTGCCCACCCTTGCTCTAAGCTGCACTGTAGCACAGCCTGCAGCTGCTTAATGAGTCCAGTGGCTCAGCTCCCTGCTTAGGACAGAACAGTGAGTTGGGAGAGACTTGCTGTGCAACCACACAGCTTATATGGAACCTTGACTGGGACTCTTGGCTACCACGACCGTTACTGCAGTGACCGTGGTGGCCAGAACTCCGGATCCTTTAAGTCCCTGGCAGAGCCCCAAATGGCATACTAGAGAGCCCCAGGTGGCATACTCTGGAGTGCACTGAGGGGGGAACATGGTCTGGGCAGCACCAAGAGCTGGCTGCCTTGGCCCTGCCCCTTCTGGGAGCACAGAGCAGACCCCCTACCCACCTTGCCCAAGGGCCCAGTGAGTCTGTCAGCTCGCCTGTCCATATGTTATATCTATGTTCTCATATTGCATGAGTCACTGTAGAGATTGGGAAGGCTGGCAGCCTGCAATCAGGCTGTGGTGATTCCACATAGTACAGGTTCAATGGGTTCAGAGAGGATATTTTAGAGGCAGGAAAGGGATAAAGTTAGGGAGAAGTCATTCTCTGGGACTTGCTTCCCCCAGGATTCAAGGGGAAATCTGTGTTACTACATGGGGGATTAGGCTCTACAGGACTTCTAAACTGAGCCATCGGGGTAAGGGGGGCGGAGAGAGTCATCCCTGAATCTCTTAGACTTTACAGTAGACTGTTCACTGAACATCCATGGAACAAGATGGTCTGATTCATAGTTCATTTCCCTCTTTATCTATTATTCCAACAATTGTTTGTATCTTAGTCTCATCCAAATGGCCAGAAAGAAGAACATTCCTGGATCCCTTTTCTATACATTAAGCCTCTCATGGTCCCAAGTACTGTATTATTTTTCTAGTACCTGAAGCTGGTAGTATGAATTTCATTTATTCTGTGTTGTCCTTCCAGTACAGGACTTCCCAAACTGGGGATTATGACTCCGCAGGGGATGATGAGATTATTACATAAAAAGCTGGCAACCTTCACCTTCAAATCCTTTTATGATATGATAGAATTTATGATAGTGTAAAATATAAAAAATAGTATATTTAATTTATAAAGGGTGTAACCCCCTTTCTCCTTCTAGGTTACTTGAGAGCAGGCCACACTCACCTGTGTGCCTGGGCACCTGATGTTTTTAACATAAAAGGAGATCTTGAGTACCTCAGTGGTGATGTTGTTTAGTTGGGGAGTCCCTGTCCAACTCCTTGCTCCTAAAGAAATATACAATGGCTGCACCGCCACCTGACTGGCCCTGTACACACTTAATGGTGTGCTTTGGGAGCCTCCAGGAATAAAATTACTCCAGTAATAATCTGGATCTAACTCCAAGACAACAATTATAAACAATTATAAATTATACATCTAATTGATTAAATTAGAATTAACACATCTTTACTTAACTTAAAGAAACAGAGTTTTACAGATTAAAAGTGAATAAAATCAACAAAGTACACAGAAATAAAGGAAACTTACCTAACTGGCATTTACACTGCCACCATTTATCCCATCCCAGAGTGTACACTCCTTTGGATTCAGAGTCACAGATGCTTGCGTGGGTGCACTTGAAGGTCTGCAGCTGAAGTGGAGACAGCACTGTGCAGGTTGTGTGTGTCAGTCCAGTCAGGCAGCCAGCTGCACAATGCCTCTGGCACTGGAGGAGGCCCCGTCAAATGCCAGCAGCTCTGGTTCACTGGACAGATCACTCTGGCTCTCCTTGAACCCAGAGTTAGTTTGTCTTCTGTGCTCCATCCCAGGCAGCACTTTCCCAAAGAGGTTATGCAGGCCTGTCTCAGCCACAGGCACAGTCAAAGTCTCTCTCCTCCAGGGAAAAACACCAACAGCCCATGAACCAGCCTGCTTCATCCAAGCCCCAGCAGGCTCTCAGTAACAGGCTCCACACCAGCAATCTGGCTGCTCTCTCCAAAATGCAGCTTACCAATTCCCTCTCTCCCAGCCTGGAAGAGCAAGCCTGCCCTCCTGTTTTCCACGGGCTTATGAGAGTTGTAGTCTCTAGAGCCAGATTGCAGCACAAAGGATCCTCCCAGTAAAAGTCAGAGGCTCCTGTAGTAAAAGGGAGCCTACAGGGGGTCACTAATACAAAAGTTTGAGAATCACTGTTCTGGTATGTTCTGGAATCTGAGGCACCCAAGATTCCTGCAATCATCTCAGCTTCTTGCTTTTCATTGTTACATGGAGGGGTGTGTATGTATGAGGGAAGTGGGGGGAATATTTGCTACTGACAAAAATAGGAATGACAGACCAAAATACAAGTTATCCTGTAGTCACTAACAATAATTCTTGGTACATGCAGGGCTTTAAAGTTCTGGACACTCACTCTCTCTCTCTCTTTCTGCTTCAGATTCTACCACCTTTTAAAATAGTGAAAAACATTACTGTCATAGAGGGCCCAGTCCAACCTAAGAGGGAACTGGTGTAATCCACTTGTGCTTCATTAAGAGTCTTGATGGGGCCTGATAGAAGGCAGCTGGTATCTAGAAATGGCCAAATGGAAAAAGCTGCAGGGGAACAACTGATATCTGTGGACTTCTCTCAGCCCAATGAGGTAAAAGAAAGTACCAAACAGAGCATTACTAAAGGGTTCCTGCAGGAAGCAGCTAGAGGCCTGGAACTATAAGCCTGAAGTAAGAAAGACTCCAAAACCTCTGAACCCAAAAGCAGAGACTGTAGACCAGGGAGATTTTTATTTTGTTGAATGGAAGAGATTTGAACTCCAGCAAAAGAAATCTTGTCTTACATCTTTACATGGTGTGGCGTTCGTTAGGGGTCTTGAAAGGGAAATTGGGGCAGAAGTGGGTGCTAAAAGACAGGCATGCCTTTCTACAAATTACTATTGTGGTGTTGTGAGAACTAACTGTCGCCATGTGTGAGATGTTTGGCCTGTAACTTTTTTGGTTGGGTGCTATTAGGGAGTTTGTATAGTAGCCATATTACACGAAAGGGAGGAGTAACTTCCAGCTGCATCAGTCAAATAATATGGTGATGAGTGTCCTGAAATACATAGACAGATTGGATGAACTGTGATGGGAAGTGTTTATTTGGGATATAGATACACATAGAAAAGCTGCATGTTGGAAACTGGTGACCCTTTTATTAAAACCTTTGCTACCAGTTAACTTCATTCAGATTTCCCAGTTGCATTCAACATCTCAACAGAGAGAAATACTGCATAATGGACCTGATTCAAAGCCTACTGAAGAAAGTGGAAAGATTCCCATAGTCTTCCATAGGCTCTGGATCAAACCCTTCTGCTAGCTGTTTTGGGCATTAAAAAAAAAAGCTTCAGGTCAACAATATGGGTGGTTTTGCCAAATCAAAATTTAGCTTGAGTATCACTTACAGACTCAGATACACAAGTACTGTGGACTAAGAAAATTTATAAAAGATCATGATTTGACAAATTTATTTCCCATCTTATGTGACCGTCTCTGTAACAAAATCAGAGGGAGATTCCACTCTGAATAAATTTAACAAAGAAAATGAAAATATTATATATAAGTAGAGCATAGACCTAGCAATAAATCTATAGCCTCTAACCAATAGGTGTCTTTTCCTTTGGAGGGAAAAAAAATCATTTCAGCAGACAGTACCAATGTGTGTGTGATAAGTTTGTGTCATTGGCTACTGATCTGTCCCTAACTATTAAAAGACAAATACTTCACACTAAGGCAGTGGTCCCCAACCTTTTGGGGCTGCTGGGTGCCTGGGGACGGGGCCGCTCACACGCCGGGCACCCGGGGGCGGGGACACCCTTACGCTGCGTGCCCGGAGCTGGTGCCACCCATGCGCCGCACTCCCGGGGCTGGCGCCACAACTGTGCTGCACAGCCAGGGAGATTCCACTCTGAATAAATATGCCGTGCGCCCGGGGCCAGAACAGCCCATGTGCCCGGGGGCGGGGCCACCACCGCCCATGTGCTGCGTGCCTGGAGCAGGTGCCTGTGGCACGTGCCCAGGAGCCAGCAGCGCCCATGTGCCGCATGCCCAGGAGCAGGGCCGCCCATGTCTGCGCACCCAGGTCGGCACCGCCCCTATGCCACACACCCAGGTCAGCGCCACCCATACACTGCAAGCCCGGGGCCGGCACAGCCCTTGCGCCGTGCAGCCAAGGGTGGGGCCACCTAACCACAGTGCGCCCGGGGCCAGCACCGACCATGCACCGCATGCCCGCGGGCGGGGGTGGGGCCGGCCCCGATTACTTGGCAGGCACACAGAAATGGCCCGGCGGGCACCATGGCACCTGCAGGCACTGTGTTGGGGACCACTGCACTAGGGCATTAGCAGGAACTGAGATCAGCAACAAGAACTGGAGATGTGTGATAAGAACTGGGAACGCCTCTCTTTCCTCCAGCTTACTGCTTACACCACAGATAATAGAGCCACCCTGTGAAAATGTAGTTTTCTGGGGCTGTTAAATAAGCACACTTCCCCTTTCAACACAATCTGGCATTTGCTGAGCATAAACTTGACCTTCACTTACACCATATATATGCACTGAGGCCCTCTGCTACCTGGAAATAGAGGCAGGATAGCTGCCCTTCCATGGTGAGATGAGTGTGTCTGTGAAAACTGGACTAGTGGGAAGCCCCACTGCACAATTTTCAATGTGCTTCTCAATAGAATACATTACAGCACCGTCAAACACCCCAGTCAGAAACCAGGCTCTAAAATCACTCAGAAAGCCAAACAGTGTGCACACAAAGCTAGCTGCCCAGCCTGGACTGCCACATTCTGCAACTGCAAAAAGACAAGTCATTTTGCTTTTTATCTGCACACAGAGAAATGAAAGAAGTTAGAGCATCAGAACAGCAGTCCCTTATTCTTTCCTTGCATGTTTTATTCTAGAGAACCAAGGGAGTATGAGGTGAGTCTAATTAGCAATAATACTGAAGTCACATTTAAAACTGTCACTAGAGCAGATCTAAAGTGTGATCTCAGATTCATATCACTCAGTTATCCCTCAGTCAACCACTACTAAATTTAGACAATCCAGAGGAACAGTTCTTAGCCACAGCTAAATGCCAGACCTGAGTATGTGCCTGCACTGCAGAAAGAAGTATCTATCTGGGTGGAGATCTGAAAATGAGATGATCAGCATGGAGGTCATGTATTGTTGGGAGGCATCCCCACAGGTAGGGAAATGGGATACAGAGGAGAAGGCGGATAGGGTTGTGAGAGGAGGATTTGCACAGAAGAAAAGGTAAATCCACTTTGGTCTATGCTGGTATCACAGGACTGGGCAATAGACTAGGACTTGGAAGACGAGATCTGTTCTAATCTTTGCTACTAACTTTGTGTGTCTTTGGTCAAGTTAATTCATCTTTCTATACTTCGGTTTTACCTTTAAAACAGTGAGAGTGAAAGTGAAAAAATATCATAAATCCCACTGTGAATGAAAAGCATTATATAAGTGCTCCGTATGTTTAAGTATTATATTATCCCAGGCGATGGCCCAGCTAGTCTCATTCAGAATCTCGTAGCTCTACATCGTGTTTTGCTATGTTATCATCTCATCAGTCTCCCACTATAGCTTTTAAAAAATTGTAATTCTGCAACTAATTCAGTGTTTTCGGTTCACAAACTGATTTGTCTATGGATCCACCTGAACTATTGAGGTTAATCTGTATTGTAGCAAATTCATTTTCCTAAAAATCCATGTGATTATATAAAGTACATCATTCCTGTTGGAACGCATCAGATTTAATGTATGTAAATAATTTATGATCTTAAGCTTTTAACCTAAGTAATGTTTCATACACAATGACATTCTGTGGAAATATCTGTAGATGCCTTTATTCTATTTTGCTTTGTATCAGTATTTTGTTTTTACTTATTCAAATATGATCTCTTACCTTGAGACGTTAAAACTCCTTTCAGGATATATATTTTCTGACTAATCTCTTTGTCTCCATGTCTATTGAGGTTAGAGCCAGCACCCCATAACCAGATGCTTCTTAACTTTGAAGAAACTTGAAAGTGAATTTCAACTCCACACTTGGACCCACTTCTGATAAATATCCACATCTTCAGTCATTTCTGCTGACTGCTATCATGTGGTCAGAGTGGACTGATGGTGGATTTCTTTGCTGTTTGAATTTGATCACTAAATTATTCAAACACATGGTTCTTTTCAGGACTCATTAGCAAATTATTTCCCCTGATGCTTTCTCTAGTTCCCATTGCATCACTCCTTCTCAGAAATAATTGTCAGCTTGATTCTGAAATCCAGGACACACTGCTCTACACCATAAAAATAGTGCCAAGGTTTCTGCTGAAGTCTTCAGGGGCACACAGGGTTTAACAGACTAAAAGATTAGTTTATTGATCAGCCTTGGTGCTAAAAGAAAAATTGATTTTGTTTTCCTTCCATCTAGTTCTTGTGAAACATATTTTCAGGTCCACTACCTCGTGCGTCTTGGCCATAAATGCAGTGTAACTTATATATTGCATGTGGTTAAGTTTAACATTAAGATAGGAAAGGAGAATCACCTCCGTGATTTAAGGTATTTTTGTTTACCTCTTACACCTGCTGAGAATGCTCATGTTCAGGAATTGCGGGTAATATCTCTGTTTGTATGATAGGTGCAGGTTTTCGCTGTTTGGTTTCTGTTAAAAGAGAAAATAGCTTTAGTCCACATTAATAAATAGCAAAAACATCTGAAGAATGTTAGACTTCAGGCACCTAACTCCTATTTGATTTCAAAGGGAAGTAAGCACATTTTAATAAATCCCACTACTACGAGTCTGTGTCCCAATGAAAGTTAGCTAAATTTAGGCATGTAAGTTTTGACTTAAGTCTTGTCTACACTGGCATGTTTTGTTGCCAAAAACTGCTGTTTGTTGACAAAACAGTGAGGCTACGTCTAGACTACATCCCTTTTTTGGAAAAGGGATGTAAATTAGATGTATCACAATTGCTAATGAAACAGGGATTTAAATCTCCCGTGCTTCATTAGCATAAAAATGGCTGCCGCTTTTTTTTGGCACGGAGTTTTGTCGGAGAAAAGCGCCAGTCTAGATGCTGATCTTTCGAAAAATAAAGCCTTTTCCGAAAGATCCCTTATCCCTCTTGAAATAAGAGATAAGGGACCTTTCGGAAAAGGCTTTATTTTTGAAAGATCAGCGTCTAGACTGGCACTTTCCTCCGACAAAGCTCCATGCTGAAAAAAAGCGGCAGACGTTTTTATGCTAATGAAGCACGGGAGATTTAAATCCCCGCTTCCTTAGCAATTGCAATACGTCTAATTTACATCCCTTTTCTGAAAAAGGGATGTAGTCTAGACATAGCCCAAGGGTTTGTCTACACAGTAAAGTTATTTTGAAATAACAGCCATTATTTCGAAATAACTTTCCTAGTGTCTACACAAGCCAACTGCTTTTTCTAAATTAATTCAAAATAGCGGAGGGCTTATTTCGAAATTGGTAAACCTCATTCCACAAGGAATAGCACCAATTTCAAAATTGCTATTTCGAAATATGCACTGTGTAGACGCTTATTTCGAAATGGGGGCCTCCAGCCCTTTCCAGGGTGCTCCAGCCCTTTCCAGCGTCTGACCTGATGCCCTACTGGAACCAGTTCCCATTGGCCTTAAATGCGATTCAGCATCCAATCAGTGTGGATGTGCTCACAAAGTATTGAGTCGGCAAAAACGGTGGCCATTTTAATGCAAATTAAATGCAAGATATTTAAATCCCCACTTCATTTGCAATGTTAACCTGTGTAATCTGCATCCCTCTGTTAACAGAGGGATGCAGTCTAGACATACCCTTAGCTACATTGCTTTGCTCTATCTATCAATAGGAGAGCTAGCAATGTGGCCATGAAATGTCAACAATGGGAAGCAGAAAAAACAGTTTGACTAGTTTTCACTTTTGCCTACTTTTGCATGTCAATAGCACTTTTGTCACCAAACCTTCTATGGCCATGTCTACACTGGAAAGGTTTTAACAATTTTACTCATAGTGAATATACAGAAAATCTTCAGTAAAAGCAAATTCCTTCCAAACTTAACCCTAGCTCTAGCCCTAGTCTTCTTACCTATTTAACATTACAGAAGATGCGTCTTGCCTGCCTACTTCAACAAAAAGGAATGCTGCACAATAGGTATGAGAGGTGGACCTAGGCTTAGAGTTCCTTGGAATGCCAACATTGTTCTATATACATTAACTTAAATGAAGTTACACAAATATAGCCAAGGGAGGATTTGAACTATTTTCTGTCAGAGTCAAGGGACTATTCTTTGAATGGGACAATAATGGAAACAAAGCAGAAATTCGAATAGGTAATGTGTCTTGTTCTCTTATTTACATACTGTAGCCACTGAGGCCCATTACTGTTTCATCGGCTTCCCAGATCTTCAAAGTCTACATGTTCTAAGAGCACAACCAGAGCCAGGCTGCTCCTTCTACTCAATGCCAATTAATAGAAATGTATGGACACAGTGGGGAGTGGGCAGAGTCTGCTCCACAACACGATAGCCAGGGCCCCAAAGCCAGCAGAGAAGGTGAGGCACCAGACTTTAATTCTCAGAGCCTTGGTTCCTGACCACACTGAGCAGGGGCATTGACATCCTGCCCTCATTTAGGCTAAATGGTAAAGTTGCAATCCAACCCTTCATTGTTAGGGGTCACTATCAGTATAAACCCCAAATAGTAAACAAACCATTTCATTTACCATGTTACTAATATCATAGCTTGTTACAATTAAAACTGAAATATGTAATACTCTTTCCATTTCCTTTCTACCACTTATATTGCTTGCTTACTTTTGCAGTGCCTCCAGCTTGAACACAAAAAAATCAAATCACTTTTACTTTTACCAGTTTCACTTTCTTAAGGTGGTACTGCTTGGCTTGCAGGTGAATCACACATCAGGTTAATGTTTAAAATAATTGCTACCACTGGAATTAAAAAAAAACAAAAAATCACAGGAAAACCTCTATTGGCTTTATGTTTGCAGAATATGGGATTTTGAATTATTAAAGTTTCTGTTTCAACCTATAGTTTGAGCTTTTTTAATTTTTAAATACCAGGATTTGATTGATTTATCTGATTACAGTGTGTACTTTTCTATTCCTGGACTACATTCATTTTCACAGAAGAATTACATAAGTAGCTCCAGAACTTCAGAGGAATGGTATAGGTGTAATGGTAAAATGAATCTAACAAAATAATGTATTGGAAAATATAACTTGCAATTCACAAGTTATTGAATTTTCACTTACATATTTGTTTCTACATAATGAACTTTGTTATATTCAGTGACATTAATGGGATTTATTCATAATCTGTCTTCAGCTTCTGTGACATGAATGCTAATTTGATAATGTTGAAAGATAATGTCTTTTTTTAAAAAGTGTCCTAAATTCATTACAGTTAACTTTGCACTGTCATGAGCAAGACAAGTTAGTGGGTGAAGGTAATATAAATATGTAATGAGTCAAAGTATGGCTCTTTGAGATAATGGAAGTAGTAGATAATTATAATCTATCTTGGCAATGGCAGATTTTAACACTAGAGCTTAAGAGAAACAGGATTGCAAAACCATGTGGTCTTGATTCTTAATATAGGGATGTAAACCAGGAATAACTTCACTCAAGTCAATAGAGTTATGGTGTTTTGAAACCAACGAATGGCTCCATAATCAGTCCCTTGGTGTTATTAAAAGTAGTTCATAAATCAGAAACTTTCCAGTCAAATGGATAGCCTGGAATTGAAGGAGCACAGCATTAAGACCAATATTGTGTTCTTTCTTTTTCAGCATCATAAATCTTCACTGGGATTTTCACAAGACACTCGATCAAAAAATCCTTAGACAGACATTGCTAAACAAAGGTACTGTGAACATGGTGATAAAACTAGAACGTGATTAGTGAGAGCTACTAAAGACAAAAGATTTCAGAGACAGATTCCTTTCCCAAGGTATGAAAATAATGAGCTCATAAATACATCTTCTGAAGTTAGCCAGTTCTTTAAAGCTTGGAATATAAATTGTACTCCCAAGAGAATTCAGGCAGACAGAAAGCTATCTGCTCTTTTCTAGGTAAGATTGAAATGTCACAAGTTACCAGATTGTAGAGAGAAATTATTGAGACTCTTATAACTGCTGAAGAAATTGGCAAGACAAGGCTATTACTAATATGCTGAATGAACAGTAAGGTAATCAAGTCTAGACAAGTTAAAAACTACAATCCTATTTGCTGATTTTGTAATTATTATTTTTTTTTTGGCCATTAGAACTTCTGGTTTGTGTTTATCTATAAAATGTTAAAGAAACCAAATTATATGGATTTATTAAAGGGTATGGCTCTTTCAATAATATCAGTAATACCTAGTTATACTTCCCTAAACCAGGACTCTGTACCAGCAACATACATGGTCCAGCATGGACAAAGGATGTTCCTGGACCACAAAGCCCAGGAACAGGGAGGTCTGGTGGTGGGGCAGTAGCGCCATAGGGGGGACTGGCGACTCAACTGGGAACCCTGGGAGGGGGGAAAGGGTGGCCTGGCACAGAGTTCTGACCCCAGCGGAGCTCCCTTGCCCCAGCAGCAGCCAGGAAGCTCTGGCCCCAGCCCCAGCCATGGAGCTCCAGCTCCGTCCTGGCTCCAGTGGCCAGGGAGTTCCAGCCCCAGCCTCAGCGACAGCCAGGGAACTCTGGCCCCAGATGCAGAGCTCCGGCCCATCTCTCTCCCAGGCGGCTGCAGAGCTCTGTCCAGGTTGCACAGCTCTGCCTATGGTGCTCCAGCCCCAGCAGTAGCACAGTTGGCAGCACCAAGAGAGCCCTGGGAAGCTCAAACAGCAGCGGGGGCAGGCTGGAGCCCAAGCCCGGTGGCAGCATGGGCCATGGGGGAGGGACCTTCCCTGATCTAGAAAATCCCCTTGTTTGGGACCTGTCAGGTCCCAAGGGTGTCAGACCAACGAGGTCCAACTTGTACTCTGAGCCTAAAACAATTATTTTCCTTCTTGCAACAAAGATTTTTTTTTACCAAGTTGAATATCCTCAGTGTGGTATATTTATCAACTCAACTCTATAGTGAGTTGAGTCATGCACCAGAGTCTCCCTGGGCTAATAGTAATGTACATTCAGAAGGTCAATTATTGATTCTTTCTTGAAGCATATCAGTGGATTCTGTGCATATGGAAGGAATAGAATGCTCCCATCACTGGGCTCCGGAACACCAGTAGAGATACTTCAGGTTGCTACTATCGTTTTAAATCTATATTTTAATGTGGGCTTTTGTCAAAATGCACCAGAGTCTCCCTGGGCTAATAGTAATGTACATTCAGAAGGTCAATTATTGATTCTTTCTTGAAGCATATCAGTGGATTCTGTGCATATGGAAGGAATAGAATGCTCCCATCACTGGGCTCCGGAACACCAGTAGAGATACTTCAGGTTGCTACTATCGTTTTAAATCTATATTTTAATGTGGGCTTTTGTCAAAAGGAGTTTGCATAATCATGGAGTTTCAGGCCACAATATCTTATCTGCAGGGCTGCTGATGGG